ATAGATCTAATATATATATATATATATATATATATATATATATAGATAGATACTATATATCAATATCATATATCTACATATATATGCATACATATATACGTATATATATACACATACATGTACATATATATGTATACATATATATGCATATGTATATGTATACATATATATGTATATATATATACATATATATACATATGTATGTATGTATATATATACATATATATACATATGTATGTATGTATATATATATACATATATATATACGTGGGTGAATACACGCATATATACATATGTATATAAATATATACAGATGCACATATACACATGTGTATATACATGTATATATGTATATGTATATACATATATATTTATAGTCCAAACAGCATAATATGTAAATCTAAAACAAGAAAATGGTTTCTATTGGACTAACACAGCAAATTACCTGTTTTATTGTGAAAAGAAACAAGGTCTTTCTTGCTACTATTATTTCTTTCAATAGATCTGCATGGGACACGCATCGCGGTGATTCGAGGTGCCTTGCAATAAATACGTGGTAGTTGGGGTTCTCGGTTCGATACCGCCCTCCGGTATCACCAAGCCTTTTATCCCTGTGGTGTCGGTGAGTTGGTACCAGATTTATTTGAGATAAAAATACTGGACTAGATTGATGAATCGCTAGCTCACCGCAAGTCATTGTATAGGCCAGATGCGCTTTCAATCACCTAACGATCCTTGATGAAGCCGATTGCACAGCGAATCCCTCAGGGATTCATCAACACAGAACGCTTCATCCTTTTCTAACATTCACAGCTGTGCATGGACCTGAGGTAAAAAGATCTCATGAAGAAGTTCCAAGCTACGTCAGCAGTCACTTCAGTGGTCCCGACCGCGATGATACATGAAGCCCAACTTCACATTTTCGATGTTTCTTAAATTCTACAACCATCCTCAACTGGACTACCAGACACAAAGTGGACCTCGATGCCTTCATAATACTAACCTTTCTGTGAATGTTTTGCTTGGAAAAAAAAAGGCAATGATTACCAGCTGAAGTCATCCATCCCTCACCATTTAGGCTAAATTTATTAGTGGTGTGGTCTCCCTATTGAAAAAAGAAAAAAAAAAGGGATTGGCACATGAAAAAACGAACTTTGCCGCAAATCACCAAACATGTCGACGTACATGTCAAGTGTACCACCTTCTCCGCAAAGGTTTTCGTCTCGTCTAACTATAAATTTCAGAGCTTCAACACTTCATTCTAAGCCTTCCTACTTCTCAAGTTCAAAACAGCCCTCTATTCTGCGAACATGATACCCACTCCTAGACAAACATCATAACACTTCAACCGCTTCACACAAAATAATCGAAACCATGATGACCCGACAAAACGTACTCTACTGCGGTAAGTTGTCCCGCACAATTCCACTGGCAAAACCCTATCGGTAACACTCCTACTAACGATATGCTGTAGGTAGCAAAAAATTTCATTTATGGCAGGAATTACGTTACAATACTTGTGGCTTTTTATCCCCCAGACTAAATACACTAGAGACATGTCATATGAAGTATGCTTAAGGCACAAAATAGTGAGACATCAACAGTGAAACAGATGAGGTATTATATTATATGAATGAATCAATGCAAACATTTAACTTAAAAAGGCTTTAAGATTAGCTACATAAGTGGTTGCCAGTAAAAGAAAGAGGAACACCACTAGGACTTCTGTAACACCAACCTCTATGAAGATCAGTGCTTTATGTGTTTTTTAACAAAATTAGTTAGGATACCAAGCGATGGGAAACCAAGAATGAAGGTTTGCACAAACCATTTCGTACAGCAGATAAGGCTAAAACAGTTATAAGAACAATGAAGAACCAATTACTCAAACATCTGCCAACCAACACAATCAAATATTCACCTGAAATTCATCCTCTTGCAAAGATGAAGGGCGTACAAGCCTTCTGCAGTGTGAGCGAACAATGCGAAAAGATTTGTAATCACAGTTATCCGATGGTAGTTAGTTCCAATATAAGCAATTACGGGCCCAAGCAGAGGGATGTGATGATGTAGAACGTCAGGAGAATAATAAGACAGCTAAATGAGACGAAAATTGGGATTTTAAACAAACTGAATCGCACGAAAAGTTATCTGTCATTTTGGATCACAACCACCTACAAACTCACTCCTAAGATAAAATGCTTCGAAAGCGTTGATATGACTCCATAAGGGTAGAATGGGAAAAACTTATTTTGATACTAGGATGGCCCGTCTTCACTAGTTATGCGGGCCCCAGCATAATCTCCATTTTTCGGAAATTTGTTGGTTTAGCCATTGTGGCTCCCTGGAGCCCCAAGGTTAGCCCGGCGAAAGTCTGGCCCAGGTTGTCACCACCACAGACAGTCGTCGCCCTTGTGGGTCAGAGAGAGATTTGCCACCATGCGACTAGTTTGACACCACGACTGTAGTGGCTTCTGGTGCTGGATTACTCGTAGCTGCGCTTTCTGATGGGAACGTCGGATTCCTTTTCAGCTTCGGAGCTCCTGTTGTGGGTGACGAATTCTTCCGCTGTACATCGTAGCTCGGCACTCAGGAACACCTTCCAGCCACGATGAGGCAGTAAACCGTTGGGAGGATGACAGGGATAAAAATAAGTATAAAATTTCTAGACCAATTTGATCCACATCTTTTCTCTGTGGTGTATACTCAAACTCCTAACTACCACCATTTCTATAGTTCCTTTTATCATGAACGGATTACGAAAAGAAAAAGACGGAAATGATACTTCACCCGTCTTTGGTGTAATGCGGTAATAACACGGCTTTACAATGTAATTCAATACATGTCCTTCATTCCGTGTAGGACAGAGAGAAACAACCTACAAAGTTGATTCCAAGAGCAGCAGGAATGACTATCCACCAGTACAATGCAGGTTGACGGAAGTAGTCAGTCATTGTTCGAGATTTCTCCAGAACTCGCAATACCAAGAAAGATTTTGTCGCCTTTTCCGTGTACTGATGGTTCCCGTGTTTACTCGTTCAACACTTAAAACAGAAGCATTATGACATTAGCGGAAACACCACATTATTTGTTCTACCGATAGACTCAAGTAAAACTAAAATCCCATCGACCTAAGAGCACCTTAACATTTAGAACATTTCGGATGATTTAAAAGACATAGTGCTCAGAGGCACTGCTTTCAAGAAATGATCTGACACGCTTAAGTGATATTCCAGTGAGAAACCACTGATCCACTAAGTGATCGCCTTTCTGGAATGTAATACAGTTGTACCTCCTAACGGTTTACAGCCTCATCGCGGCTGGGAGGTAATCTTGGGTGTCGGGCTGCGATGTACCTCGGGGAGATCCATCTGCACAGCAGTCTCCCAAGCTGAGGATACCGAAGTTTCCATCAGCAAGTCCAGCTAGTATCAGGAACCATCACCGCCCTGGTATCAAACTAGTTGCACGGTGGCAAATCTCCCCCTGATCCATAAGGACGGCAACTGCCTTCGGTGGTGACGACCTGGCCAAATTTTGGCCAGGCTGACCTCGGGATTCCAGGGACCCACGGTTAAACCAGCAAAACTCCGATAAATGGAGAATATGCTGAGGCCCGCACAACCCTTGAGGACGGGCCGTCTAAGTGCCTAAGTGTCCAATACAGTTGTAACACATGGTGTACTAACTGGGTCATATCTAAAGTGCAACTGTTCTATACAGTACGATAGGTTTTGAGTTTTCCTATGAGCTCATAACATACTCAACATCAAATCAATACAATTCATTCGCTTTATAAATGTCTAACAAACAAGAATGTTGCAAGTTAACAAGCTACGATTTAGATGCTGTTATGCAGTGGTCCCATCGAAAACAAAACAACATTACACGCCGATAAATCAGACATAAATCACTAGTGCAGTAAAACCAAACAGGAAACAAACGTAATACTCTGCCCGTCAACAACGAGATAAGCATAGAGGAATTCAACAGACTCAGACGGTGTTTTGTACTGAAAGGGGAGAGCGAAGCTCCGCTCAAAAACGAATGAAAGACAAAACAGTATATAAAGTTTTTACATATGAAAGAAAGCAAAGCGATTTTCCTCCCCATCAAATGAATCTCATTTCTGCTGATTCTGTTGGTATCCGCCTCTGTTAAAACCTCTGCCGCGATGATTTGCATTGTCGTTACCATAAACACCTCGAAAATTATTATAACCTCGATTGAAATTGTTGATATAACGTCCATCGCTTGGTCATGAAATAATATGAAACCAATTTAAAAGCATGAACAAGAAAACTGGTACGGTCACATACTTGCAAATCCACGTCCTCCTCTACCACGCTGCCCAAATCCACGGCGATAGTTCAACGAGCGAACAGCCGAATGACCAAATGTTTCTTGATTTGTCTCACGCTCTTTCTTCCAGTCCGGACGTCCACTCTTTCCTTCAGCTTTCTCCAGAGCTTCACAACTAATGCGGTCGAAAAACGAACTTTTCTTGTCATAGTATGTATCTTCCGGCGCTTTTTCAGCCTGCTCTTCCTCGCTCTTCTCACCATCAACCTAAACATCGGCAATACTTCGCATTCTGGGACGAAGTAAGGCATGTTTACCTTCAACTTGTCCTTGAACATATCAGAAAACTGCTCTTGGAACTGCTCGTTAGCTTTCTCAAAATCGTAGTCGCCATCAAACTTCAGCTTCTCGCGGGGGCGAGGAACCCCTATGCTATGATTATTACGAGGACGCTGGCCTGCGTAATTGTAACCTCCACGAGGATACCCATTACTGAATTGTCGGTTTCCTAATGCCATTGGATTACCTGAATCATGAAATTCACACCAAACCACTGCACAGAACTGAATTGGAACTTCGCCCGTGATAGTTTGCCCTTGAAGAGAGGAATCAATCCGACAAACCAGATGGTGGAAAATTTCCACGGTTTCCACGTGGCGTTGCATTGCGGCCAGTACCCGGAGCTCGATTTCCATGAGGAAGGTTTGGACTGCCACGATGGTGTGGAGTATCGGAACGCGACGAACCGGCAGAAACCTGCTGCTCATTAGCGGACGCGGATCCAGTACGAGCCGACACCGATATGATTGCTGGATCATAAGGAAGTCCACCAGCCAAAGTAGCAACCTATACAAGACGAATATATAATCTCAAAACAACTACAGGTTAACGTCAAAACAACTCTCTCCAACTTTAGGCGTCTCGCAAACTATAAGGTCCTTGATGTCGTTTGCTTTGAAAATGATGTACTCGTACACATCGTCACGAGCTTCGACAGGGTTTGGAGTTGGACGGTCTTCGGTACCGAACGATCTCACTTAAAAGCCGATAACATTAAGAATAACCAAAAAAACTAGTTACCAACTAATTATACTCATTTTTCATTCGTCTTTACTACTTTGCTTACTAACTAGTAAACGCACAAACCTTTTGCCAACGCAATGGTTGAATCGTTCGTATCCACCGTGTACAGAATTCCCTCATAGCGAATGTCCAGCTTTGATATTAAACTGATTTTGCTCCCAATGTAGGGGGTTTGATTAGACATTGCAGTAATACAGTAAAACAGGAGAGGAGACCTGAAATCCACTAGTCATGTTGGCCCGGACATAGAAATGAGCATGAAGAATTGCCCGAAAGAATGGCCTAAATTCCGAAATTCGTGGAAAACATCCCCAAGCCAAAAGAAAAAGCAAGCATGAGGACCACACATGGATGTGGGAAGCACCAGAACACCACCTATGGCGATGTGGGAAACCCAAATAGACCACACTCCGGAAATAGCACTTTGGACATGAACCGCGCTCGCAACGCGCGGATGCGCGCGAATTTACCCGAAATGTGATAGGTGTGCGGTCCTGGAACGATTATAAACAGCGATTGAAGCACAGAAGCTTAACTCCATCTCCCTGGTCGGTTTTGGGCGGATCCGCTGGTAGGTTGTTCTGTCGTGGAGGTGATGACAAGAGAGGTGAAGGTGGGTATAGGCTCATACAAGTAGCCTCGGATTCCAGAAATCAGTAAAGTTTTGCTTCATTCCACGTACCGGACACGTTCAATTGGCTCCCCTCGTTTGAAAGACACGGAACGCGTCAAATTTTCGAAGCGAACTTTAGCATGAATGTAGGCATGGACAGCACGGTGGGATATGTTATATGAACGAAGTACACCTACGGGGAAACCTTGCCCGCATGCACGTACTTTTTAACCAGCTGTTTCCAGGGTTTCTGCTTACTTCGCGTGCAGAATACAGGCTCTGTTTTCCTAAGCATAATCGTGAATGTACGAATATGATTGTGAACGTTCGAAAGTTGTAAGCCGAACCGCCGTAGTAGGGGTGGAACCCGTTCCGAGAAGCCTGGCAAGTACAAGACTCTTCTTGGCCCTCTTCTAGACCCCCTATCAACCAATTAGGAACACTTCTTGAAACCTCGAGATTAGTCGGTCCAAAGTGTTGCATCATGGATAATCGTAGGAGCTGTATGTAAGTTATACGGAATAAAAGGATAAAGTATTCGACGTTGATCGATCCCTGAGAGATGTGCCATACATCTGACTTCGTCAAGCATTTGTCAGAGGTGACTGGATGCATCATCGATATCACCTCTATCACCTGTCGTCTCGCTGATCGTCGACTGACTCGAGCGGGCGCCAGTAGGTCTCCCACTTTTCTCTGTTGCGTGCAAGAGTACCCCAGTGTGTTCTGCTCGCTCAAGGAACTCGTTGAGCATCATACCTCTCTTCTAGGCTTTTCGTGATGAACGCTGACCATTGGGTTAGTGGCCCTCCTGCAGCACGTTTGGCATCCCGAGGAATCCAGTTACTAACGGCTCTTATCCATCGATTGTCGTGCATACGCATTATGTGTCCGGCCTACCTTATCTTCGAATGTTTGGCGTACAGAACGGTATCTTTGATTTCTGATCGTTGACGCAGGTCGATGCATATCTGGCCTAAAGAAGGACTGGCCATGACCTGCCGATGTATTGAGTCCATGTCGCTGTCCTCCCATACAGGTTCGGTACCAGTTTGTCGATTCCGAACGGATGAAGGCTTGGTAAGCCCGTAAAGCGGGGTCGAACCGATGACGACTTGTCTGCTACAGAGGTTATAGGTCACCTATATTGCCCATTTGCATAGGGACATATCCTGGCGGTAAATCATCCCCGAAGCGCTTATGATTTAAGAAATCGACTTAAAGGTGTCAGAGGATTTGTTCCAGGCTTATGTTTAACTAGTCGCTTTCAGGAAAAACTTTCGAAGTCAGAGAAACTGAAGAATTTGGCTCATCATTGGCTGCGGAATTTCGATCTGAGAGTCGGACCAGGTGTCCGCACAGTAGTCTCTATGACCAAACATCAACGAATGCTTCTCTACGATCGTCACCAAAGTGTGATCCTTCTCGTAGAATCTCGTAGATTGAAAACTAGACCAGGACTGTATTCCTAGATATCCCAGAACTATTTCCGCTTCCAACGAAAATCTTGCTGGAGCGGTCTTCCTCCTTCCACGATGGCCCAACGGGAAGGAGGTGGTCGGAGTTCGGATCCGCGCATATTCCATCGACACACGGACGGACGGACGACGCGCAATTACACTTCGACGCCCCTACGAGCAGCTTCTTTCTAAGCATTTGCATTGTCGTCCGTCTAAACATAATATTATTACTAGTGTCGTTGTACTACTGCCTATAATAGTCGATCAGTAGCTGGTCGATCAATAGCTAGTCGATCAATAACTACAAACTAATCTTCAGTATATGTTGTTTCTTCAATGAAGAGTGTCAGTTCGACTCTAGTCAGGATCTATTTCTCACATGATTGTGGTTTTTAGTGTTTTCACTCCTGTAGTGTGAAAATTATACGTATTGATTGGCCAGCGGTTGCTCGTTCTCCCAGTAGAATTTAGCCTTAAGAGTGGGCTTTTCTTCAGTCTTTGTTTAGATTTATCTTTCAAATGAGTGATAACTCCAATGATTATTTACGGCAGAGAACTGGGAAGCCGATTAGACAGGTGCTAGTATGAGATAGCCCAGACTCCTTAGGTCAGAGTTCTTAGTTTAGTAGGTTTCACTATCAAGTGATCCGATGGCAGCGTTACTGATCATGTCCTCTCTGGTACTCATCAGCAATTTTTGCATATTACATATGTGTTATATTATATAAATCATTACATGTGCGTTTTCTTAATTCTGGTGGAGATCTCAAACAGTTGTAAAAGCACATATAGGTTAGAGACACTGAGCAAGTGCAAAATTTCTCCCCTGCTTTCGGTGCGACTTACAGTGGCACTCGTTCTGTTTCTGTAAGAGACAAAAAGCGTGGCAAGGTGAACGAGTGTTGGATATGGAAGGACACCTGTTTCCGTAGCCACTCGAACTATTACTGACTCACAGTCAACTGGTCGCTTTTTGCTTTCAACGTATTCGATAGCTGTTTCACATCGCGTGGGCACCTGACACGGGAACCCCGAAGAACTCGTGCGACCTCTTCATGGCGTGTATGTTGACAATGGCGTTGTTGAGCGATGAAATGAATGAATGGATCGTGATCGGAAACTACTCGCCACAAATCGGGGAATCACGTCCACACAGCGAAATCGATTATTGAAATTGAGTCACCTGAGTCGCACCTGGGCGAAACACGGCGACGACGAGTCCGGCGGTGATCGTCGTGTCGGCACACACACGCAGATCGTCCCCGCTTCCATGCTGGGGTTTCGTGGTGCTGACATTTGCTGCGGAATCGATGGTGCTTAGGAAACGAAGAAAGCTGAAGAGGTCGGCACCACTTTACCTACTAGTTTCGTCAAGTGTCTGACCACAAATGCTCGAACTCTTGTATAGTGCTGACAAACATTCATTCGCAGTAACTCTGGTTTTGTCTGGTTCGAGCATTTTGCTTTCCTTCTCTTCTTTCCGAGCGCTCTTTACAAACTGAAATTCAGTTATTATTAGTTTCCTTTTGGTTACAAAACGTGTTTCAGGGACTGTCAGGTGTCGCATATGTCATTGTCATCGGCGGGGTTTTCTCCTGGTGATGTGACGACCCCAAATCCACTTCATAATACTAGTAAATACAAAGTGTATGTACAAGCAGTCGATCGAGCTCTAAAAACGTTCGAGAATCCCAATGAATGGGCTGACCTCATTTCAGCCCTCGCCAAATTGACCAAGGTAAGTTCTACACAATTATGTGGCCTGTCTTCGTTAGTCGTAAAGGAAAAAAGCGCTGTTTTTCAGTAAAGAAAATTTGCATTTAGGGCTAGTTGTTTGAGAGAATAGCACTTTTTCTTAAGGTTTAGCCTCTAACGCACTTTCCACTTTCCTAAATCTTCAGTACCTAATTCCAGGTATTTCAATCTAACGCTAAGTTTGGAGATATCCCTAAACCAGTTACGGTGGCAAAACGATTATCCCAATGTCTCCATCCAGCTCTGCCAATGGGTGCGTCGTAAGCGGCTGTGCTTTGCCATTCTTGTCAGCTTTCTTCTATTATGTGTTCAGAAAGAAGGCCATTTCATTCCAGGTGTGCATTTGAAAGCACTGGAGACTTATCGCCAGATATTCGATATTCTTGGTCCCCAATCATTGCCGAAACTGCTGTATTTGTTTGCTGTTGGCTTATTCCCACTCATGGACCATTGCGGTATCAAGGTATTTGACCCACAATTCGCTTAATCTTTTCCAGTTGTTCCTAAGGTATTCCTAAGACTGTTCGTATATTTCGATAGTAGAAAGCTGGCTCAGAGACTGGCGAAACGGAAGGACCCGCATGGTGTGGTAGTGAACGCGTTAGCCCTGGAAAGGGTAATAGCGCGTTTGTTTCCCACCGCAGACATTTGCGGTTCCGAGTTTTGGAAATATCTTAGCCCGTTATGGTTGTATTTCGAGAGTCTTCACCATCCAGTTTTCTGCTATTCTAGTTACCACTAGCTTTTATAGGTCAAATCCGAGTTGTTTAACATCTTCGAGCAGTACCTTCTACCGTTGGGTCAAAACCTGAGACCAGCACTACCTGGCTTTTTGGCCGGGGTACTGTTAGGTCTTGAGGAAGGAACGGAGTTTTATGAGAGGTGTGGAAGTCGTTTGTTCTATCCATTTTTTATAGTTATCTTTTCGAACTTAAATCTAAAGACACGTTAACTTCGAATTTAATATTTCAGCCATAGGGGCTTTGAAACCACACTTGATTAGGCGGTTTTTCTCTTTTACCGAATAATTGAGCTGAATATTTTTTACCTGCCTGCAAATTTCAGTCTTTATAAAACTCACCAGAAAACAAAGAGATTTTCTAGACTTTGTTTTTTAGACTTCCTAGAAGAATTGGTGTTTTTAGACTTTTTAAACCTTAGATTTTCCTTCGATTACATTCTTCCTCGATTATCGAGTTTTTGATTTATTCTTTTTATACGCATTAGTTTAATTGAATCACATAATTGATCTGAAAGTTCGGAAGTTCTGTTTTCTTTTTTTTCATCAGTTTGCATCATCGAGTCTTAAAACAACATATTTCTTCAGGTTTTGTGTAAATGTATAGATTACAAGAATGAGGTAAAACTCGACAACTGTTTCTTACCGGTTTTCAACTGTTCAAATACTTTGATTTGACAGATCTCTTGCCCACGTCCGTGGTTTCGTTAGGTGATTGGAATCAGTTTATGATTCAGATCGCTATCCGTGCTTGACCAAGTTTGCGAAGGAGTTGGTGAACGTGCTTTCTTCGCCTGCCTTTGGCAAGCTGTTCTTGATTCACCGTCTGTTCGTCTTCCAGCAATGCTTTATGTCAACGCAAAGTTTGACAAAACCAGAACCCTTGATGATCAGATAGCTATTGTCGGCGATCATGTGAATCACATGGTTGGTTACTTTTTTGTTATGAAACTTTTAGTTCAAACTCTATTTGATTTTCATCTTTTCCTCTAGTTGTTGTTGTTTTGTAATGTCCTTTTTCGTGGTGTTTAGGTAGCTGCACTCTGCGCCACTGCCAATGATTCTGGCTCACCTTTAGTTCAACGGAATTTGTTGGATTTCCTGTGTTCAGCATTTCCATTAGATAGCACAAACTTAACAAGGGAAGATTTTGTACAGGTAGTGGTTCCCTTGAGGAATTGTTACCTATGAACTTTTTATGGACGCATACCTTGCTTTCAGTTAATTATGCGATGTATGTTTGTCGTATTGCGAAGGGATATGTCCTTGAATAGACGACTTTACACTTGGTTGATGAATCCAACAGGTAAGCAGTGGATAACCAACAAAAACAGAACAGGCTTGGTTTAGTAAAGGGCTTTCGTTTATAAGATAGGTATAATAATACTATCCTTTCTGTCAAGCGCATGTAGAGCAGTAGTCGGGGGCGCCTTGCAATACACATAGCATCGATCTCCGTCCCCTAAGCTCACCAAGCCTTTCATCCCACCGGAGTCGGCAAATTGGTACCAGACATATCTGGGAGAATACCAGTACTGGTTCAATAAATCGGTAGGCCACGGCAAGTTGTTGTAAAGGCTAGATATGTTTCCATTCACCTATAACGATGCTTAGTTAAGTCGAATGCATGGCGAATCCTTCAGGGATTGATCAACGCCGAGAGCTTTAGCCTTTATCCTTTATCCTTTTTGTTTCCTATTGTTTTCTATTTCTAGGAGAGAACATAGCTATTAGTAGTATTCCCATTGGCGATGATCGAGTTGAGTCTACATTTTTCACCGATAGAGCTCTTCCTCTCATTGTGGATGCGTTGACGGAATATCTGAAGCTCGATATAGTCGAAATTCCACAATCATCGACAAATGCATGGGCGTATGGCTGGGGAGACAAACGGGTCAGTTGTTTGTACTAAAATTAAGGGTTGGGACTTTGTGTTGGTATATTTCGATGTTTCCACAGGGATTTCTTAGTACCATGTGAACCAAGCTGTACTCTGTACTCTTGCATTTTGGACCACACGCTGCAATTTCAGGAGAGTGAGCAGCATCAGTTTGCTGAAGTGCGTGTTTGTCGGCTCCTGTTATATCTTCAGGACCGCACAGATATTGGTGCTCCAGTTTTAAACAATGTTTTTCCATTGTTTTTGATATGCGTATCAAATATTTACGAGCGACTCACTAAAGATTTTTTTCACGTTGAAGAATCAGTTAGTTCTCATTTCATTTGCTCTAACTTTTTACTGCTTTTCTATTATTTTCCAAAATTGTTAACTGTCGTTCAAACCCTGTATAACTGCATACTGATTGCATTCATTATCTCTGTGTATTCAAAGTATAACTACTTTCCATCCAAATAGAAAACATTAAGCAACTCAAACTTTTTCAAGACGTGATGTCATCCTGTTTGACACTAATTAGTGTAATACCTACTTGGATATTTGGATTGCCCATCTTCAATAGTTGTGCGGCATCCGGCATAATTTCTATTGTCCGGAGATTTGCTGGTTTAGCTGTTATGGTTTCTTCGAGTCCCGAGGACAGCCTAGCTGGTCTGCCCCAGGGCGTCACCACCACAAGCAGTCGCCGCCCTTGTGGATCAGAGGGAGATTTGCCACCATGCGAAAAGTTTGGTACCGGGACGTTAGTGGATTCTGGTACTGGTTTACTCCTAGATGGGTCCTGATGGAAACGCCGGACTCCCACTCAGCTTAGGAGGTCCTGCCAGGGGATAAATCCTTCCGCTGTAGATCGTAGGCCGACACCCAGCAACACCTCCCAGCCGCGATGAGGCGGTGAACCGTTGGAAAGATGTACGCATTATACGTGTGTGAAATATATATGTATATATGCAACTATATATATGTATACACATAAAAAAGATAAAGCTCTCGGCGTTGATCAATCCCTGAGGAATGGGCCATATGCATTTGACTTCGTTAAGTATTGTTGGAGGTGATTGAATGCATATCTGGCCCTTACAATGACTGGCGGTTTCCTACCGATGTGTCGAGCCAGTGTTGGTATCCTCCCAGACAAGCCTAGTACCAATTTGCCAACCCTGGAGTGATAGAAGGCTTGGTGGGCCAGAGGCGCTGGGATCAATTCGACTTGTGTGTCGCAGTGGCGCCTCCAACCACTGCGTCATATTTATACGTACATTTATGTACATGTATGCATATATACATATACATATGAGTGTATACTGTACATATGTACGCATATATATATATATACATATATACGTGTAAGCGTAAGTAGATAGACGTAAATGGACGACGTATGATATGCATAATTACCAGTACTATTTAGAAACATGTAGAAGGTACCGTGAAGCGAAATCATTTGCGATTATCGCTTGACTTAAAGAGGGATCCATTTTGTTTGCCATATACTGGACTGGAAGCTGACAAAACAAATGAGGTAAGAAGTACCAGAAAGTGCTTATCTTTTTCCGAGGTTACTTTTTAGTTAGCTTATTTATCGGTCTTTAAGGGAATGCTGAGTTTTCCAGCTTTTCCTATCACTCAGCCTACTTTGGCCTTTGTGGGACTTAGGAGGCCTGCACATTAGTTTTGAATTGTTCGCATGTAGTAATACTACTTTCTCATATTTTAGAAGCGTCGTTTGGATGAGATTTCAAAAACATTCAATTTGCTGTTAAATTCTTTGGAGCAAGGATTTCTGTTTGAATTTCTTGGCAGTTGGTTCACGAAGCTTCTCGATACAGTCGAGCCAAACTCTAATGACATATCGCAGTTCTCCAAGGTGATACAGAAGCTTACTATTCATTCTCTTGCGACGAATATGGAAACCTTTTCATTGATAACACCGACACATTCGCGAGACTTAGGCTTAATTTTGTAAGATGACACATGATAACGCCTAGTTTTCCATAGCGGGCAGTGTTTTTTGGGCTTATTATCAAGGTCGTCCTTTCAAAAATTAGCGTATTGTTAACTTTTTATGTGCTCCCTACTACAATTTTTCACGGGAGAATACTATGTGAAATGCAACCTTAGCGATTCTGAGATATTTGCGAAACTCTGGACCGCAGGTGTCTGCGGTGAAAATCGAACACATTTTTATTCTTTCCGGAGACTAACCCATTCACAAACACACCATATGGATCTTTCGTTTGGCCTGTCTCTCACCTAGTTTTCTATCTACCAGTGCCATCAGCAATCACCCGCGATCGCATTATTTTTTCATGTATTTCGCTTGATGGTTCAACTTTTCCACATATTTATCGCTTGTTTCTAAATTTCACCTAAAGTTAACATTCTTTTCTCATATCTTTCCATGTTTTTGTAACATTTTTAACCTCTGGGAAAGAAAGAGATTCGTTCACTGTTCATTTAGAATGTTGTCAGCTTTTGGTTTAATGACATATGCTCAGTATAGTTTAGTGTTTTCTATCCATTTTCTGTATCTATCCATACTTGAGTACGACTGAGTTTGTGAACTAGTGTGAACTTGCAAGCGTGCGCCTTTATGGAAGCACCATGAGTAGCCTGCATCCTTTTCTTTCATCTATCTGTTACATAAAGGCGCGTGAAGCGCAGCAGTTTGGAAAACCCTGCAATATACATAGGATCGATCCCCACTCCCCAGACTCACCAAGCCTTCCATTCCTCCGCGTTCGGCAAATTACTACCCGACTTGTCCAGGACCGTAGTAGCACTGGCTCGATGCATCAGTAGGCCACCGCGAGTCATTGTAATGGCCAGATGTGCACTCAGTCACCTCCAACCATGCTTAATGAAGTCGAATGCATGGCGCATCCCTCATGGATAAATCAACGCCGAGGACTTTATCCTTTACCCTTTTATCCGTTGTACGAACGAGCACGTAAAAAGTTTTTTCTTCTTTTTCATTGTAAATTGTTGCTGTGGAATATGCTTTTCTTGTGGTCCAAATATCTGACATGTTAAGCCCTCTATTATATGCAGGAATTGTAATAAGAAAAATTCCTCCAAGAATAAGGAGAGGGGTGACAAAATGTTTTTTAAAAAATACACATCACCCACCCATTGTTTTGCGCGTGCATTTATCTAAATGCGTGTCGTCTAGAATGTGTTAGCGGTGCCTCGTTATGTAGATATTAGAAGTCGATTTTTATCTGTAATGTACTAATTAACGGATATTTTGAAGTTTTGGGCATAATCTTCTGCTAAAAATAAATCCTAAAGTCAAGTTATTGATTGGTGTTATTATTTGCGAAGCATCCTTCTTTTGTTTGAGGTCGTTATGTTTTGTCTGGAGACGTGTAATCTCGACGGAGATCCTGTTCTGCGAGCTCAAGCACTACCGAAGTTATTGTGTCGAATATTAAGTACACTCCATTGTGATCCAAAATTGATGCTCATAGAGAATTCTTCTCTTCTCCAAGTATGTAGCTCGTTCTGATTCTTTTTTGCGCTTTTTTTTTTTTGAAAAGTAGTATTCTACGTTTAAGATAATCGAAGTTTGTACGAGGCTACTAGCAGAAATTTCGCAAAGTGGTGCTGTTATGGCCACTGGTACGTTTTTTTTGGCTTTTAATCTATCCCTTTTAACACTCTGCTTTTAACCATTATGATGCTGAGATATTTGCAAAGCTCCTGACTGCTGATGTCTGCGGTGGGGATCGAACATGCTATTGCCCTTTCCAGGGCCAACGCGTTCACCATCATACTATGCATGTCTTTCGTTTTGCTTTTCTATAAGTCATGTTATTAATTTATAGGTACTATCGGCAGTCATCCATCAACGGGTGTTTATATCATCCATCCGTGGTCCGGATTTTTGAAAATATTTTTTTTTGCATCGTCATGCTCATATTTGACATAGTACCCGCCATTACAAAAAAGAGCAGGCAACATATAAAAAGTGGCGACATTCTGCTTTTGTTTAGAGTATAATGATCAACCTTCGGATGGTTCTTCATCTCAGGACAGTCCTCGTAAGCAAGCGCGACATCCAGTGGTGTCTGGTGTAATTGATGAAGGTTAAATTATTTCCAGTACATTGTGTCCACTTTCAAGTTTCTTAAGGTCTACGGAGGCATTTCGAATAGTTTTGCTTTTAGGTCAAGTGTTTATGGAGTCTTGTTTGATGGAATGCTTGACGCTTTTGTCATCCGTCTCAAGCATGTACTGTACAACTCGCTCCAGTGTACACCTACCTTTATTTACTGCCGTGTGTAGCCTTACATCCCAGTTTGTGGATTATCCTCTATACTGTGTGACAATAGAACATCAGAGCAACCCTCAATTACCGAACTGGCTTAATGAAATACTGAAGGTTCGTTATGTTCAAATTCCAAAATTTGACTTCTACGTATATTCCTTAATGAGCTTTTATGTTAACTTAGGTGATCGATGCAGACACTTGGGTTCAGTTGATGTCGGCGACTTCATTGGTTTGTTTCTTTCTAAACTTTTGCAAAAGCGCATTGCGGTTCTTTGTTCTAACAAAAATTTCTCACTACTTTAGCTATGAGAAAAGTGGTAAACAGGAAACAATAAAATGGTTGCCTTAATTTGGATGAGAATTATCTACAGGGAGTTGATGCTTCTGACTTGTCTGCGAGGATAACAGCTTTTGATCTGGTACTTTCAATCTACCTGAAGTGTTCCTCTGTCATTTCACAACACGAGGCTATCAGTGGAAGATTAGCCGAAGGATATGAGTCAGTTTTCATTATACCTTGCTTTCTGTTTTGTGATACGTAGCTGCTTTATACTTTTGATATCATAAATTCGCAGTAGATTTTATCCAATATGCCACTATACAGGAATGACGAGATACTTCCTACTACTGTTTTGTTGAAACCTCTTTTATTCACAGCTCAGCTCAATCAGTTGGAAAAGGAACGGGTTTTTGAGGTGCGTTAGTCGTTCATCTCTGTGCTTAAACGTGTAATTTAAATCTACTTGTTTTCGATTTTTTTCTTTTGATGAGAGAGAAAGTGGGACTTAATTTTAGCGCTGCGGGCAAGCAATTTGGCTTGCAGTTGGATCATTGCGGTGTGCAGAGGAACACGAGGGACTTTCTAGACTAATGGCTCTCCTACATTCCAGGAAACCCAACGAACCAAGTAGTGATATGGAGAATATCGTTGTTTCCGCACTTACCAGCACCGACCCGGTATGCGTTTATGTAGAAAATAAGGCCTATAGTTTTAAAGAAGAAATAATTGCAAAAATTATTCGGTCAACTACCTACTTTCATATTTTCGTAAAACTATTGGATTATTTTTATAACAACCTCTTGCCATATGCTACTTGCTTTAATCATTGACCTGAGCGGGCTTCAAGTCTTTCTTTTAGGGTTTTCAGCTCTCAGTATTGATATCCTTCCTGCTGTGTGTTTGGCATCTCGAGGAATCTATGCATCATAATCGCTAACGGCCCTTATACATCGGTTGTCCTTCATGCGCATTACATGTCCGCCCCACCAGACTTCCTATATTTTGGCGTTTAGGAGTGCGTCCCTTATTTTCATCGTTGACATAGGTCGAGACTTTGGATCTGCTCTCCCACTTGTATACTGTGGGACACTTTTACCATGTCCTTTCGACTGCTCATTTGGTAACTCCGAGATTTCTGATTCCGTAGTGACCAGGTTTTCAAAGCGTGCGTTGAAACGTGAAGATCATGGAGTCAAAGAGCTGGCTGCGGAGTCACGTTTTTTAATCCTCTACACCACATCCTCGGTGACTTCGAAAGCTCTCCAGGCCGCTTTCTTCCTTATACTCAATTCTGGAGCTAAGCCATTCATCGTATTAACTTCTCGACCCAGCTAAACATAGTTGGAGCATTTGGAGATGTTCGTTCCATTGAACGTGTTTGGAATGCAAACAAATCCGTTCTTCATGTACACCGTTTTTGTGAGATTTAGTTGAGGACAAATCTTTCCACTAACGTTTTCAAAGTCGGCTAGTGTTTGTTCCATCTAGTTTATGCTTACTCTTATAAGAACAATATCGTCAAAGCGAAGATGGTATAATTGATGGCCATCGATTTTCGCTCCCATGTTGGAATGGCGTTCTCCAGGGTGGCAGTGTATAATATAGGCGAGATACTATCGCATTACCGATTCCCTCTTTTTATATTTACGTATTGAGTAAACGCGACCTGATTGCCTAGAGCTTCTGTATACGATTCTTCACCGAATAGATAGCATGTCCGATTCCTGACTGGAGAACTCGTAGGCGGATATATCCATCCTTGATCTCACAGGAGGGCAAGAGGACGTAGCTGCTGGAGGGATCGGAGGGTTATCTATGGATGGTTTTCTGATTGCCTTTCTAGAATCGATACCTGTTTGTTCCATTTGAGCTTCGAAGTGTGATCACCTTAGTCTTGTAATTAGTGAAGTTTTGGCTGACCTTGCGAATCTTTTTCCCACTCTTTGTAGCTTGAGCCATCACCGCTGCTTTTCTTTTCTTAAGGTTTTCTTTTACCGCCTTTCTGCAGTGTTCTTCAACTGCAGATGGGAGTTACGATTGCTTACGGCTTGTGCGATTCCGTCTTGACGTATCGATTTAAATAGTTGTCGAAACAGGCGACTTTTAAACACTCGGCTTTCGTAGCGCTGACGTGAAGATTACCGATAACCGTATCTTCTCCCAAGAGTCCACTAGTGATTTGAATAAATCCTAGTTCTTGGTGACTTTGGGTTTTTCTTTGTTGAACTTTGTGGTTTCTTTCCTTTCGACGTAAAAAAAATGAACGAAATTTGCGCGGAGGTGATGTTCCGATTTTGTGTAGAATGTTGGAACTCTTCATTGAAGACCTACTACGTTCAGAGTTCAATGGAACCTCTGGAATTGTGGGTTACCACAAATGGTCTTGGTGGTTATAACAAACTCAAAGTCGCCCATCCTATTCCTTCCAATATTATTCTTGAGTCCCAGTGTTACCCACTGTTACGTCCTTCAGACATTCTCCTGGGTCGAATCTTAGCTTTGAAATTGTAAATTTAGTGATACAAATAAATACTAGTTTTGGCTTAATTTATGTATGGCTTAAACAGCAGCGTATTGTTTACGAGGTCTTGCGGAACGAATGTCACAATATTTGTTGAGTATTGCCGTAAATTATGATCTTTTTTATAGACAATCAGTACACAAGCTGCACAAACGTTCCATCGTATGTGGATGCTGACTCGAGCGTGCGAAGAACACTCCCTTTTACCTACAAAGCCATTCAATCGGTAGGTTTTATACCAATATTGGAATAGAACTCCAGGGATGCCGAGACATGAGCAAAACTTGGAACCTCAACTGGGCTACGAATTCACGGTTACCACTACCACAGGCTCACGTGCTATGTACTACACCAACTAAGACCCTTGTTTTGCCTTTTCTCTTAGTCATGTGTGGTGGATAGCACGTGAGCCCTCAGTAAGAGTAGTTGCGGCTTCGAGGCACAGTTGAGGTTCTGAGTTTTGCTTATATGTCAGCATCCTTGTAGCTTTAGTTTTGATGAATTTTCTGCACTCTCCAACAACTATTTAAGAGCGGTAATGCTGTTGCTTGGAGTACTTGCGGATGAGTCAGTGTCACGAGCTCGTACAGAGCTAAAGAGCGCTGCTGCTGCATGGTTCATCGATTGTGCCAAACACAATGATCTTCCCCGAATAGTACAAGTATGTGGTGTTTGACTTGTGCATTATTCGTGTTTTTTATTTAATTCCCTGAGTTTAAGATGCTTGCAACGATGCTAATGAACCCTGTAACAGCTCGGATCTCGATCCAATATGTTTGGCAGGAGGCGAGGTAGTATATGTAGGTCATTGAAAAATTGTAATTTAAGAAATTTTTTTTCCTTAGGTTATCAAAAGAACAATTTTCATCAATGCCTCCCGATGTCTCTGTGGTAACACTGGTAACACTTGATGGAAAGCAGCGTTTGTATCACTTTGATGGTCCAGTGCCAACAGATTGGTTTGTTTTTGTTTTCTGCTTTATTTTTTATTTCTATAGCCGTTCATTTTTGAGAGCATTAACCTCCAATGCAAAAGGTCTTCTATCTCGTCTTTTCCTTATCTGAACAACTTTTTTGGATTTTCGGTCCAGATCTCTAGGTCATCAGTTCTTTGAAATATAAAACCAGTCCTAGAATTTTTCTGTTCGACTGGAAGGCATGACTTTTACGTAGTTCATTTCCCTTGTTTTGGATATCATGGTCTTTGTCAATGAAATCTCAGGCAATAGAAGAACTGCTTTCGAAAAGATGGTAAATACTTAAGGAGCCACCTATGAGTCATTGGTGAATTCAGGATAACCTATACGTCATTTATACAATTTTCCAATATCGGTGTACTCTGATAGCGAGCTTTGGTCCCTTGTTCTCATTGATGCTGTCTATGTGGTCACAGAGTTTGCCAAAGAAGTCAGCTGTTATCGGCCTTCAAAACCAAACGAAAGTAATATGTTGTTTTATATGTACTTATTTTTCTAAACATTTTGGTCGAGGATAGCGTCGATGAACAGATGGTATTCTCAATATTTGATGCCTCATCGTGATGTACTGGCACCATAGAAACGAAGTGTTGGACAATTAGTAATTAATAGGCAATTGATAAATTGGGTACGTGAATTTTCCTCGCAAGAAATCTATTGGAGATTCATTGATGGCATTGAATTCATGGTACATCGTAACATCGAAGGGATAATCAATTTTGATGCAGTTTTCTTAATTTCACACCACTAAACGAAGACCGAGGTGGTCACCTGCTAGGTCGTACTGTGTCGAACTTTTACTTCGAATATTTATGAAAAGTATTATTTTCGTAACTGCCACGACCGACTTTCTATTAACCTCGGCATTGATCAAGTCATTTTCTTCGTATTTTTGTTGAGCAAACGCGAGGTGTTATTATTCTTTGTTCACGATTAAGCTGACGTTTCGGCGGATTTCGCCTTCCTCAGAGCCGGGAAAGGTCAAGTTGATAGCAATCCACTCGACTAGTTTGATATCAGGACGGTGGTGGATCCTTGTATTGGTCTACTCATTGCTGAGCTTCCTGATGGACTCGTTCGCGGCTTGGGAGTTCCTACTGGTGGATGAATTCTCCCTCTGTGCACCGCAGCCTGACACCCAAGAACACCTACCAGCCACGATGAGGCGGAAAGCCGTTGGGAAGCTAATCCATAAAGTTTGTCGAAAATATAGTTTATATTATAATTCAGTTATACAGAGCAGAATTGCGTAAAATAAGCTTTGCATTGATGTATTATAATACACCATTGGAAAAAAAAATCGTTGCTGAAACGTAAACGGAAGATAAAACTACAAATATTGCATTGATTTCTGGAAATTTAGTAGTCATAGATTTTGCAATAAGTAATTATGAGGTGAAGTAAACACCAACTGAGATGAGAACGATTTGAATTTCACTAATTTCTCTAGAAAGAGTAGGAATCGGCTACGAGTTTCAGCACTTGGCTATACGAACTTCGCAATCGTCTGCTACTGTCATCTGAAACAGGTGCTTCTGAAGCGGAGCCAGGTGCACTGTCCACATGTGCCGCTGTCGTTGGTGGTGATATTCCCAATTTTGATGAAGACACGGTACGCGGTTTGATCCATCTCATTACACGAATTACTGAATTATTTTTTTTGAAGGATTCGCTAGATACGTTGTCGATATCTATGGAAGGTGTTGACGTAACTGTTATGGAAACGATACAGTACATGATCGAGTGTACTGTGGAAGAAGAGGAAAGCGAACTGGATAATAGACAACGCCTTGAATCGGCACTGGTTAGCGCTCCACCCGAGGGTAGCACAGTTGTATTCCGGTACGATTAACACTTAATGACACCATCTATTTTTATTGCGTGTTCCTTCGTGTATAGCCTTTTCAGTGTTGTATGAAAGATTCAGATCAGACGGTGAGTCAGAGGTTGAGCCATCGGCTGTCAGTTCGCGGTCAACTCACGAAAGCAGCGAACGGCCGGCTGCTTTTGTTAGCGATGGTCTCTCGAGGTAAAGCCGTTCGATTTGTTTTGCTTTCATCCTGACTTAATATTTTTTCTGGCCAGCTTTATAATCGTGTTTTGCGTTTAAAGAGGATTTTTCAAATAGTTGTTCTTAAATGCTATAGGCATGCCGTTCCAAACGTTCTGATCATCGATGATTTGATTGTTTTAAGCTCGTATAAGTTCAAGAAGGGACATCGTCGGCAAGATTCTCTGCAAGAAAGTATATTCAGCATGACAGAGCGGGAGCTCAAGTTTGTGTTTATTTTTGTTGCATTTATTTATATTGTTGTTGAGGTGTATATCTTAACGTTATAGTTGTTATGAAGTATCTATACTTTCTTCAAGAACTTTCGATACGACGGAACTTTTGCGGGCGTCAATAGAATCTGCTTCGGAAGGAGTAAGCCTTTTCCATGAATCACATGTGCATATGTTGCTGTATGGAGAGAGTGGTCGTGTTGTTGATCTCGGCAGGTCTGAAACTGCTTTTCGGATATTGACAGCGTTGTTGTGTCCAAGAGGATCACCTGTTTCAAACCGTATGCTGCTTAGGTATGTGTTATTTCGTAATTAACAGTTTAGTTGTTCGCCTTTATTGTTTTTTTTTCTAGTTGCTTGGTCTCGTCGGGTACAGCTGCTCAAAACGGGGATAATTCTGGTTCGAACTCGTTGCTCACTGTATCACTTGTTGATCTAATGGCTAAACATGTTAGAGCTATTCTTGGGCAGCATTTCTGGAGTGTTACTGGCGATGAAGATATATCTAAGCATCGACATTTAACCTTACTGGAACTCCTGATAACGGTATCGTACTGTGCTATATTTAAGGTTTAACTTATTTGAAATTAAATGTCGTAGTATTGCCAATATAATGCGACTGATAGAAAGACGAAACGAAGGACTCGCATGGTGTGGTGGTGAGCTCGCTAGCCCCGGTAGGGATAATAGCATGTTCGGTCCCCACCGCAGACACCAACGGTTTGCAGTTTTGCTAATATCTCAGCATCATTATGGTTATATTAGCAGTATAGTTATATTTACATGACCAGTTTTTGCTCATTGTGCGGAGCCCAGTCCTATATTCCTGTGATTAGTTGTGTTCATTCTGTTTTTCTGAGTGTGCTTGGATTCCCTTTGGGGGATCCACTGCGACTGAAGGGTTCTGTATGCCTCGTGAATAATTTTGATGATCGTCACATTGTTTTTTATTGGAATGCTAAGCGAGCAATCCTACAGTTTTCCCAGTCTTTCGCAGAAGGTGTTCGCAGTTACATGTTCTTGCGGGTTATAGGAAACCTTTTGCAGAGAACTCTGGTACAATTTTGTGGACCCTGGAGGTGAGGGAGGCCTATTTGGTACGTAGCAGCGTCGAACCGGTGTTATAGCGCGTGAACCTTGTCAACACCTGCATATTGGTTTTATTTCCTAACGAAAATGTTTCGTCGATGAAATTGTGAGGGAAAACTCATGCTAACAGGTAATTACCAGTGGTCATTCTTAGATTTCACTGCACTTCCTGCGGTCGTTCTTCTTGAACTCTCCGATTTGCCCTGTTACGCAGTCCGACCTGGTAATGGCATGGAAATGCAAGGTACATTTAGATGTTTGCTAAGGATGACAGGCATGTTGCCAGATATCCTTTCATGAATTGTTTGTAGTTATTCCATTTACCGGAAATGCTTACAGATAGCAGCTCTAGATTTTCTATCGGAATTATTGGGCGAGCTCTGTGAAATGATCTGTGAGCAGCAATCCAGACCATTTGCGATGTTCGTGCAATCTGTCATATCCAGGTCGAAGTTACAAAGATGTCTACTACATCTACTTCTCACCGTTGTTCACGACCCGAGGACGAGTGCTGATTCAGGACAGGCGTGAGTCTATTGATCTAGCTGTCTAGTCCTTTGCGGAAATTCTCTGGAACATTACTTTTTTCGTAGATTTGTTTCCAAAGAGTCAGTTTATACGAAAGTGTCGAAAACATTTTAGAATGCCACTATCCGTCTCTATTTTCGAGTTCAATGAGGGAAGATCGTCAAGCACAGGAAGGCATTTGGCTGGATTGCTCTCAGCATATAACCGCTCTCTTTTAAGTGTAACAGCGCAGGCAATTCGGCTCGAAAGCGACGTTAAAAACGCGTATTCTACTTTCGGAGACATTGTGAGCTTCCAGTCCAATTGTCATCCTCTATGTCTTTAACAGTTTTGACTTTCGTTTCAAAGGAGAGCTGACATGTCTCTCTTACTGCTGTACTATATTAGCCAGTCAATTTCTTTAGATTAATAGTTTTGTAAGGGCGCAGTGGTCGGGGACGTGATGCACACGCGAAATCGATCCCCGCTCCCATGGCTTACCAAGCCCTTAATCCTTCCGAGGTCGGCAAATTGGTGCCAGATTTGTCTGGGAAGATAGCGACAAAGCCTCGATACATCGGTAGGCCGCCAAAAGTTGTCGTAAAGGGCAGATATGGATTCACTCACCTCCAACGATGCCCAAAGAAGTCGAATGCATGGCGCATCCTTCAGAGATTGACCAAGACCGAGAGCTTAGTCCTTTTATCCTTTATAGTAGTTTTCTAAAAGCACAGCCATGTTTCGAATTTCATTTGTAATTATTTTTAAACTGCTTTATTATAGAGCCCGTCATGTGTGGTGAACCGTCTGGTCGCGCAACAGATTTACAATACTCCATCACACCGAGGAACGTTGCGAGAGCCAAGTCCTGCATTAGTTGAACTCCGTGCATTTCTGCTTATTGTTCTGAGTGCGTTGAAAACAAATCCAGAACGTCATGAGATGTGGTTCCAGTTTGTGGTTCAGATTCTTCCATGGATGGAAAGGTTCGTAGAATTCTGTCGATGATTCGAGCGCCTAGATTGGCTGGTTTCTGATGTTAACTTTAGCAATATTAAGGTCACTGGCTACTGTTATGGTACGAGTTGTTGAGCAACTGTGTAAGAACGTAGAGACAGCGTTGAGTATTTGCTTTCCGGGTGTCGTTGATTCAGAGGTGGCGATTGGATCGAAAGAACTTGAACAAGATTATCCTGCGTGCTTTATAACCATGGTTTGTTCAAGTTGTTTGTAAAGTTGTTCAGCCTATGATATCAAAACTGTTGCCGATATGGTGATTTCGTTTTGAATATCTTTTTTTGTGGAAATCAAAATTTTAGACATTGGAAACCATTACAACCCTAGTGCATTTTTGTGTTGTTGACACGACGGCGGCAGGATCGGCAATTCACCCAGCAGCACCAATAGTTGCCGGCAACAGTGCTGGAAGCATGGTTGGCCAGGTTAATGTTCCGTCTTTTCAACATAAATCAAATGCACCTTTGCTGAAGTCTGCACGAAATGATTTAGACGCATACCATCTAATCCCTCTCCTTACAGGTAAATACGTTTAGCACCCTCTTCCTTAGCAACGATCTTGTATGTTGTTCGATCCGTATAGTAATCTCTGAACCTCTTCTAAACTCCTGTATTTGTATTCCTGTATGAACACCTCATAAATCCTAGCGCATTTACCATGGGCAGCATTTCTGTACAACTTTTACTACGAAATTACTACGAAACAAGTAAATTCTTATTAAAGGGATTTATAAATAATACAAAGCAACTCGTCTCGACCGAGGCGGGGTACATTCTTCGAGGTTTTGAACCTCCATATTGAACACAGGTACTATGGAGAAAATTGTGGGGCCTGGAAAAAAAATCAGCTGGAAGCAAATGTGGAATATGAAGTTTACAGGCTCAAGTGCTCTGCTGTGTACGCAATTATCTGTAGATTATATACAGATGAGAAGTTTTTGCATCATTACAATTTTTAGGCAATGGCCGTGATTCCTGGAACAAAAGGTGCTACAGAACTCTTCTCTAATCTCGTAAAAGTGTTCAGCTTCAGTGATTCCACATCGGTATGGGTCAACCATTGGTTGCCATTTTTGACATATTTAATATGGGTTCCATTTCGAATGCCTGCAAAATAGCTATGTGACTTCATATTTGAATTCCTCTTCGTGAAGATATTGTAATAGTTAGTTATCAATAATAGTAAAATAATAATAATAATGTAGTCGTCGATCGATACTTAACGATGTAGGCGTACAACGATTACAAAACATTTTTGAAAAATATGCTGTGTATAGTAAAACGTTGAATGTAACAACTCTGATCCTCATGTTTTTTACCATCAGCAAAAGGAGTAGTATCATTAAAATGAAAACAACAATAGCAATAATTATTGTTGGGACGCGTGAAGCACAATGGTCAGAAGCACCCTGCAATGCATGGGATCCATCAAAGCGTTCCAGGCTTACCAAGCCCTCCGTCCGTCTGGGGTCGGCAAATTGGTACTAGACGTCTCTGGGAGCATAGCAGAACTGGCTCGATTCATCGGTAGGCCACCGCGAGTCATTGTAAAGATCAGATATGCATTCAGTCACCTCCAACGATGGTTATTGAAGTCAAATGCATAGCGCATCCCTCACAGATTCATCAACGCCGAGAGCTTTATCCTTTATTTTATTATTATTACCATTATTAACAGTTAATTATTGTTTTAATTGTTATTGTCAATTACTAGTTGTTATTACTGTTATTATTGCTGTTGTCACTATTATTAGATAGAAGTGTTTCTATTTGTACTACAACAAATTTATTCAGACTGGTGGCACCAACCTTGCGAAACTGGAAGGCACTCGTGGTAGTGTAGCATTACGGCAAGCTCGTAACGACATGCTTACTTCACTTCCGCACGCTCTTGCTACTATTTGCGACGTTTGGACGGTGGTGAGGAGTAACAGTACACCATGTTTACCACTAGGGCCGCCACAGGTCTGCGTTCATTTAATCAGTTCTCTTCTCTGATTTGGTCACATAGGTGACTAGCATGTCGGCCGACTACTTGAACCACTATAATTACAGCATTTTCGTCGATTGGTACTGGACTTGCTATCACCTATTGCACAGCATCATCAACAAGCATTTCTCACCGCTCTTTCACTAGTTTGGCTCACGCGTTCTGGAAATGGTGCTACTTCTCAAAGAAAAATGGATCCTGATCGGGTCTGTTTGGGATTCGTTACGCATGACGATTGCGACATTAGACTAACATCAATTATTCCTTAGAGCAGAAATATTGTCAGCCGGTTTTCAGCTAAATTTTCACTACACGCCAGCTCAGCATGACATATCGAATTTGCTTCTGAGCATAAAAGTGATATCGTTCGAAGAGCTGTTATCGGCTGTCAGCGATACACTTAAAGAAGTAGGAGTGAAGGTGACAAAACTTGGAGTAGGTGAAAAGGTATGCCATATGAAAATCATCTTGACCTTTTATGGAGTTATCTACAAATCATTTGTAGAAAGCCAGGTAAGCGATACGATGAGGTGTTGAAATGCTATCTTTCCTGTTTTTTTTCCTTTCAGTTCCTTTTCTTTTGATAGTTTTGCGGAAGGATGGTTTAGTTGAGGCTACCATTATTTTCATCATTCGTATCATTGCGAATTTTGAGCCAATTAAATCGCATACTTCTTCTGAAGCAGTGATTCTCCCATGTTCAACTGGTTTCAAGTTGGATTTCCGCCAAGAATCCAGGAAAAACATTGAGCTTGAAGAAATTGTTTGATACTTGAATACCAAAATATTCTTTCAGAAAGTTCTGTGAAGTACAGCAACGTTCGAAAGCTGGAGCGAATGGAAAAGAACTGAGATCTATCTATACATTTTCTTTAGTTATGGCAAGAAGTATGGGCGCGTGTAGCGCAGTGGTCGGATACGCCCTGCAATACACGGGATCTATCCCCGCACTCCAGGCTCACCAGGCCTTCCATTTCTCCGGGATGGGTAACATGGGACCAGACTTGTCTAGGAAGATAGCAGCATTCACTCGGTTCATAGATAGGCCACCGCGAGTCATTGTAAGCGCTACATATGCATTCAATCACCTCCAACGATTCTTAATGAAGTCGAACGCATGGATCATTCCTCTGAGATAGATCGTCGCCGAGAGCTTTATCCTTTCTTTTTTTTATGGCAAGAAGTTGCAAAGTTGCATATATAATTAATGTATGTTTATACAGGCGACTTTTCCTACTGAAGCTCCGTTGCTCGAGATGGTACATTGCTCTGTGAGAGCACTGCCAACCGGCCAGCTTCGCTCATGCTGGTCATATTTCCAGTCATTATTTTGTGATGCACCTCTTTCTAGTCTACCACCACGTGCCATATTTCTTCTGTATATGTAAGAAACCTCTGTGGTTATTGCATCACCTTGGGAAGAAAAAATCGAATTACTTTCCAGAATTTTATGTGACTATGTGCGATGTGCTGGCGCTTCGTACATAGTAGAAGATAAGAATATGTCTCGAGCCGTTCAAGATACAGTTCAACGGCTTACTGAAGCTGTTAACGTTATTGTTGGGTGGCAGCTGGAGACAACAACGTGGTTGAAGAGAACACTAGTTGTTAGACACGATCAAGGTGCAATCCATCGAACTACTTTAACTATTAACTCTTTCAACGTTCTGTTTACGTTTTTTCTACCACTTAACGTTTTAGGCCCACGATCTCAGGATGCAAGTCCTTCAATTGAAGTGAATACACCGCTCAATACACCTCTACCCTCGATGATCCAGTCAGAGCAGAGTTCCATGCGTGGTTCAACGCTGTCGCTGATGACTCGGCATGTGTAAATTTTGTGATTCTTCGATATTTTTTGGATCACTAATGTTAGCAAGGGGTACGTGTAGCGCGCTGGTCGTAGGCGCCCTACAATACACATGGGATCGATTCCCGCGCCCCAGGCTCATCAAGGCTTCCATCCCTCCGGGGACAGTAAATTGGTACCAGACTTGTGTGGGAGGATAGCAGTGGTGGCTAGATACATCGATAGGCCACCGCGAGTCATTGTCCATTGTAAAGGCCAGATATGCATTCAATCACCCAACGATGCTGAATGAAGTCGAATGTATGGCAAATCCCTTAGAGATTGATCAATGCCAAGAGCTTCATTCTTTTTTTTAGTGTTAGCAAGAAATACGTGTTATAACCGCTAAAGTTTTTTATTCATAATATAACTGTGCTCAGACCATCGTCGTTGGATACTGGTTCGCTACCTGAAAAGAAAAGTAGCTCCAATTTACGCGGTTCTGTGAAAGATACTAACAACAATAGACGTGACCCTGCCCACAGTACCCAGGCGCTCTTCCTTTTGGCGGAGGTACTGCGGAGAATAGTTTCCCCATTCGCATTCATACTATTTTGTTCAAAGCAATTTTTAGAACTTAGCGGAGCTAGTCGATTCTGTGTGCAAGAGCGATGATAAAGAACGACTGTTGCCTACGTTACAGGCCGTTTGGGGAAATGTGATCCCTTATTTGAGGGCGAAGAAGTAAGACAAGTCTTTAAAACGGACTTTAGAATTGCATTGCAATATGGACGTGATTTTTTTTCTTCATTTTCTTTTTTAGTGCCAGGAATTCGAGGTTTTTCCTTGCTTCCTCACAACTATTGGCATCAATGAGCTCATTCAGCTATATGCGTCCTATATGGAAGAAGACAACGCTCGAATTGTTACTTGATTCATGTAAGCGTGCAACCATTCTGCTTTTCGGAAAAAATTTAGAGTTGTACTCTATGTTTTATTGTACTTATACTTGTCGGCAGTCCTGGCCCACCAACCTTTCCATCCCTCCGAGGTCGGGAAATTGTTGCCAAACTTGTCTGGGAGGATAGCAGCACCGGCTCGATACATCGGTATGCCATCGCGGGTCATAGTAAAGGCCAGATATTTATTCAATCGCCTGCAAACGATTCTTACTGAAGTCATGTGCATGGCACATCCCTAAGGGATTGATCAACCCCGAAAGCTTTATCTTTTCTAGAGCTTTTATCCTTCTGGAATGTTCTACTTATTTCATGTTTTGTAGAATCGTTGTGCTTGCCTTCTATATTCTTATAATCTTCTAGCATTCTTCAAGATGGATATGCAGTCTTTAAAGCAGTGGTTGATTGTAAGTGACCATCTCATGACCCATGACAAAACATCCTTCAAAGACCTACTGAGTGAGTGCTAGAAAGTTGTGAAGTACCAGTTTCAAAAGTGTTCATGCAGAAGTGAAAATGTGGTTCCTTTGCTTTTACCTTCTGTGTCATACATTGGCAATTGTTACAAGCACTCTATTCAGAAAGTATCGCCTACACTCCGAATGCTTCCTTCAGCATCATGACCTCAAAAGAACAGGAATATGAAGCACGAGCACTGGCAGTGAAGCGATTGGCGTTTGTTGTACTTGGTTCGGAGCTCGACCAGTATCAGGCACAAATGAACGATATTCAAGGCTAGTAAGAGATCAGTGGATTGTTTTTCGCCCTTTGGTTTTTTTTTACTTTTATTTAATGGCCGACGGGCCTAACTTTTGCAGGAGCTAGACGGTCTATCTTTGGCTCTGAGTGATAGTAAATGTTTTCTCCTTGAGCGGTAGTGTATTACGAGTAGAATTTTGAAGTTAAGCTATGTGTATCTTCTTTTTTAGAACGTCTATCAGAAAACTTGCGGGTTTCACAGTCACCTTCTATACGCTCTGCTGTTTTTCTATGCATTCGTGTCTTACTACTACGATTACGACCACCAAGCCTAATTGGAATTTGGCCAATTATGATTACAGAATTGGTAAGAACTGAAAGAAATATTATTGCTAGTGCAAATATCTGTCGATTATTCCTAAATAACAAAAAAATAGTTTCAATTCCTGACTGAGTTATTTTGTAGATATGGGTTGAAAAGTTTGTTAAATCATCTGTGACTGTGTCCTTCAGGTCCATGTACTGTTGCAAATGGAACAACAGTTATGCTCTGAAGGTAATGGCATAGAAGACCTTGGTTGTGCAAGAGATGATGCCTGGATGCAGTTATATCTAGCTGCGTGCAAAACGCTTGAGACATTGTGTACCTTGCCAGCAGGATATCTGGCCCAATTTCAGATGTGAGAACCACGCTTTTTTTCATTCATACGTTTTTCCGTCTCTATTTGCTACCTGTGATGTAGCAAGTCGTGGGGTTACTGTCAGCATGCCGTAAAAGGTGCGGTGAACAGCCCGCATGTGTATTTTGTCTAACTGAATAGAAATAATCAGTTTCTGTATTCGTTATTGATCAGAATCAGTGCTGACAACGTTGCATTATCTTACTTGATCAGAACACAAAGATAAACGTCAAAATGAGGAAACCCAATGGTATTTTGCTCCTTATAATAGCTTCACTAGGTTTTCGAATCCATCTCATTCCGTTAGGTAGTGTTTATTTGTTCAAAGGAATTTTGGTCTTTACAGGTGTCACTGGGCATTTGTGAATTCGGTCTCTACAAGCAAAACTGATGTGTTTTTGCCCTTTGCTGGTCGGATCAATAAATTGCTTCGAACGAAGGTGTGTTGCTTATTTGACATTTGAGTTTTGGGATGTTCGTTAGAAAATGGTCATTTTGTGTAAAATTTTTTCCTTCACGTGCGCTGAACTATAACTCTTTTCTTTATTAGAAGAAAAAGTTGCGTAATTGTTTGAAATAAGACAAGAATGAAGGGACCGCTTGCAGCGCTGCGGTTCGAGGTGCCCTGCAGTACACATAAGTGCTATCACGCACCCCAGGTTCACCAAGCCTTCCATCACCCTGGTGTCGGCAAACTTATGCCGGACCTGTCTGATGGGATAGCAGCACTGACTTGATATATCGCTGTGCCACCGTGAGTAAAAACTAGAAATGCACTCTACCACCTCTAACAATCTTGACGAAGTCAAATGCGTGGCGTATCCCTCAGGGATAGATCAGAGCTTTATCTTAAAGCAAAAGGTTTTATTTTAGTGTTTTTAGCTCTAAGACAAAAATGAAGAGAAACAGCAGATAAGAGACAATATTTCCCAAGGGGATTTACGAAGCATGCTGCAGAAAATAACTTGTTGATTGTTGGTGTTTTTAAACAGTATCATTAGAACAAAGCGCGTGTAGTGCAGTGGTCAGAATTACCCTGCAGTGAATACGTGGTCTTTGGTTCGATCCAGTACCCTGGGTCACCGAACGTTCAATACTTACGGTGTCGGCAGATTGGTGCCAGACTTCTCTGACATTTTAGCAGCACTGGCTTGGTACATCGCTAGGCCACCGCAAGTCACTAGGCCATATATGCATTCAATCACCTCAAACGTTGCTTAGTGTAGTGGCGCATCCTTAAATGATTGACCAATACCGAGAGCTTTATTCTTCATCCTTTAATCCAAAAATGTAATTTCAGTACGGAAAACTGAGTTCAGAGGAATTGACAACTCTCTCGCCATCTCTCTGTGGGATGAAAATGTTGACAAGTTTTGAAGAACTTCGGCCTTTCTTTTATGCTCTCGCCACTCAGAATATGGCGTTACCGGGAACAAATGAGGTTTTTTTAGCCTTTTTATTTATTGCTTATTTTTTGCCTACTTAGGTATTTTGTTCAGTTTTTCACTTTTCGGGAATTACGCTTTATAAAAAACGCACTTAAGAGCTGCTTCGGTTGGGTTCCGGCTACTCTTTACTACAAGTTTCTTAGTTCTGAGTAACACATATCGTTATGTTATATGGTTTCTTCACTGCGTAGAGAATGTTTTTTTTTACTGCTTACTTCTTGGACACTTGGATGGCCCATCCTCACTAGTTGTGCGGGCCCCAGCATAATCTCCATTTTTTGGAAGTTTGCTGGTTTAGCCATTGTGTTTCCGTTGAGGCCCGGGGTCAGCCAGGCCATTGTGTTCTCCAGATCGTCACCACCACAGGCAAACGCCGCCCTTGTGGATCAGAGGGAGATTTACCATCATGCGACTAGTTTGGTACCAGGACGATGACGTTTCCTGGTATTGGTTTACTCTTAGTTGACCTTCCTGATGGAAATGCAAGACTCATTCTCAGGTTGGAAAACCCTGACAGGGGATTACTCCCCCGGCTGTACATCGCACCCCAACACACAAGAACACCTGCCAGCCACGATGACTGTGGGGAGGTCTTGACTGTTTAACTTTCCCAAATTTGGTACACAGTTTTATGAAACCTTATCATCTTTTCAAAACGGCATGGAATAGTTGCTCTTGTAATAGAGAATTCATACCAAATCAATTGTTTGTAGTCCTATTTTCAAGAATTGATGTCCTTAAGTTTTTGGATATTCATAATAATGCTTATTCCGGATGTTTACTAATGCGGTAATGAATTCAATATACTATTTGCCTTTTTTTAAGGGCGGTTCTTCATTCCTAACTGGATCACTTTCTTACAAAAATGCGGTGCAACGTCTGGAACACGCTCTTTGTGTAGATTTCGCCGAACACTGGCAGCTTTAGGTGTTTCTTAATTAATATTCATAGTTGCTGTGATGTTTATTGGTTTTACGAGTACATTTACAAAATGTTTTTACGATATGTGTGGGTAAAGTAGGTTAGAAACATTGATGTTGATTAACCAGTCGAATGGTGTAGCTTCGAGTAACGTCCTTCATCGAATAGTTTAAATTTACTTTCTTCTATAGTTGGACATTTAGCGCCTTGTTGATCCGTTCTTTTTTGTACATTAGATATATCTACGTTGTGATGAATATGTTTACAGCGTGTAGATTTAACCACATAGTTGTCATTTCACCAGTAGAGCACTGTTTATCGTTCTCATCGTTTTCATCTCATTTTTAATTTTAGCCCGTTCATGATTTGTAGATATAATGTTCCATATATGATTATGTTCCGTAATCTTCCAGTGCTTTTTCTCCTCGTTGACCCTTCTATTTTTGAATAAGTTGCGCTGCGTGTTACCCTTTTTGTCAGACGTTCCTGGATTTGCCTGGATAGTATGCATGATTTGTAATAATTTTTTAATGTTTCCATACCACAGAAGGATCTGTAACCACATATATGAGCCAGAAATCGCCAAATGGCTTAGGGTGGTAAAGTTTTATTTCCTATGGGACGTAATATCCCTATACTTACGGCAGTGTCGTTTATGTTCATTTGCGGTGATTGGCCACAACGCGTACAATGTGATAGTTGTGTGAATGGAAATGTGTTGTATAAATGCTGTTCAAATAACGACTGTTTTTCCACAGCTTCATGTGAACTTAATTAAGATCATACAAGGTGTCGAGTATGAAGCTGTTTCCTAAAGAGAACAGCTGCATATGTATTTTGCAGCTTATCGGGAAGAGCGCGGGTGGCGCAGTGGTCGGACGCACCCTGAAGTACACATGGGATCGATCCCTGAACCTAGCCTCACCAAACCATCCCTCCGGTATCGGCAGATTGGTACTAACCCACCTGGGAAGATATCAGCACTGGCTCGATACATCGGTAAGCTAGAGCGGGTTACTATAAGGTCCAGAAATGCATTAAATCACCTTCAACGATGCTTAATGAGGTAGAATGGATGGCGCATACCTCAGGGATAGAACACCGAGAACTTTATCCTTTTTATCGTTTATTAGAAGGAGAGATGTTAGAAACTAGGAACAAAGCTGCAAGAAACGAGATTAAGAACTTGTGAAATGTGGTTAGTCATGGGATTCTTAAGGAAACGACATTTTTCAACGAGTAATGGGTTGACAAATTTCGCCTCCTTTATGGCCATTTTAGTAATCCACATGGGAAGTGGTGGCTCAAGGAGTACTGTTTCCGCATATCACTAGTGCTTGAGAATTTGGAAGCGCACAGTTTTTAGTCACATTTCTCTGTAATATGTTAGCGAAAATGAACTTTGGTATCGAAAGTTTTAGGTCTCGATCAGGACTGTAGTAGTTCCTTTTGTGATTTCGATGTTGTTGCGATGCCCTGCCATGCAAGGATCAATCCGGTCCTTACTTGAAATGCAAGGCTAACATAAGTTCGTTGTGAAAGAAGGGCTGTAGTACTTTTATCGTGAAGGTATAAAGTTCAGCAGGCTAAAATACATACAGAAGTTGACAGGACTTCGCTCTATTTTCTGAAAAGTGCTTAAAGTGACTGAGATGCTAGCACCAGTTTTATTGGTTCTACCTCACAATGCAGGGTAGCGCCCCATGACAACCTGCTCGGGACGGTTGGGGCCCGTTGACATCGCGGACTCTGCCCCCACTCTGGCCTCCCTCGGGCCTCCATTTGTACCGCACACTTTCGCCAAACGCCCTCCACAGGCCGTCGGCCAAGCCCTCATTGATCAGCCCTACTCGGCCCCTCAGCCCTCACACCCATTCATTCGCTGATCTCAAAATTAGAGTAAACGTCATTTCTGGATGATGTTCTGGAATACAAGTAATCTTAACACGTGGATCTATATTTCGAATAACTTTCGAACGAATTACCGACTTGTATGAAGAGTCACGTTTTTCGTCAGTATCTTACCATATACCCTATAGAAATGCATCAGTCGAACTCTTGACTTTCAAGAAAAGCTGGTCCAACAATTATTTCCAGAAAGCTGACTACATCTATACTGATCCGTGTCTCCAGTGTATTGACTAGCTGGCCGTTGGCGGTTTTTTGTGCTCCTCGCCTTTCGCTGTAGAGCTCAGCTCAGTAGTTTCTAACACGGAAAACCCGTCAGTTGCAGGGCGGGAAAATATTTCAAATTGCTTGTTGGTGAATAACGTCTGTTTGCTGTTTGAATAATGTCTGTAGGTTACTGTCTAAACACCAACTCCTACTTTGGAATGTAGATCTTACTTCGAAACTTGTTATAATAACTGGTATTTCCTTTCTCTGAGCTTTTTCATCTATTGAGAACTCAAGAATGTAAAACTCTCAGAATGGTCTTCACTCAATTCCAGTCTGACGGTCAGTGGGTTCTCCAACGCGTTTCTATGGTAGACGATTCGAATCCGATGCGACTTGCCAAGAAAGCATGGAATCATATCGGGGAGTTCACCCGGCAAGAGGCCATTGAGGTGAGTTGGCTCCTATACTCATTTCCCGCGTAAGACCAAAAATTGACATAGTGTCTTTCTACTCCTGAACATGGTTTTCTTCATCATTTTGTTCAAGTTCGCTGTATGTACAAACTTGTACGGTGATAAGAAGATAAAGGATAAAGCTCCCGACGTTGATCAATCCCTGAGGGATGCGCCGTGCATACGACATTGTTACGCATCGTTAGAGGTGGTTGAATGCATACCTGACCTATACAATGACTCGCGATGGTTCAGCGATTTATCGAGTCAGTGCTGTTATCCTTCCAGAAAAGTTTAGTACCACTTTGCCGATCCCCAAAGAATGGAGGGCTTGCTGGCTGTAGGGCGAGGGATCGATTCCAAATGTTTTGCAGGGCGCCTCTAACCATTGCGCCACGCGCGCTCTTTCAGCGCTGAATGGAGAATAAATCATCAAAAGTTTTTAGTGAGAACACTTTGGCGTTATGGCAACATAGTATCGTTCCCACTTGAATTCTTGTGAATTACCACTTTGTTATTCGTTGGATTTTTTGAACCAAATTCTTTTTTTATAACGGGTTTTGTAATTGCCTCAATACCACTGTCTTTACAGGAGCCAGTTTCCTTTCTATGGCATTCATGTCCTTTGACGCTTTTCATGTTAATATTTTCCTGTTCCCTTTCCCCCCTTTTTCCCTTTCTCTTTTGTTGACATCATAGAGTTTGTTAGCCTTCTTGAATTCCGTTCTTTTTCATTGGCATATGGGAATATGCGCTCGTTGGTTTATACTCATGCACGTGTATGCTTATAAATCTGTGCAGGAATCCTTCCTTCAATGGTTCACTGCTTCTTTGCGGATCTGGGTGTCGAGTTTCAATTTCGCCAACGTGGAATGGTCCCCAAAAACGAAAATGTGTCCGAATTTCCTACTCAAAAAAGTGGCTAAGAGTAAATTTATGTGAACAATAGCCGACTAGAGAGGAGCTAGTTGCGAAGTGACAAAGCTCCCGTCATTTCACACAGGCTAATGACTGCTTCCGACCTGTGTGAAATGACTGGGAGTACAATCACGGCAATGGTTTATCGAGAGTCGAAGGAAGAGATTTCATACCAACGACGTACCAGTTGAATGAAAAATGCGTTGAGAACACCATAATTCTTTACGAAGATGTGCCATTTGACATTAGAATATTTCACGAGTTCAAAACTTACAGGATTATAGAAGAGACTTTGTTTTGTCGCACTAATCGCGTTCACAGTTTTTGTGCACTGTCCATTCAATTTTAAATGCGTTCAGAACTCAAACTTCCAAAAAACTGATGGCAAAATTTATGTTCATAAAATATCCAAGGGAAGAAGGACAGTTAGGATACACTGAGTACATCAGTAGGTCCAGAACGAGGAAATCCCGCTTACTAATTTGCTATCTTTTCTGAAACATTGGCTTTGAAACAACAAAATGGAAAATACATATGTCATTGGCTCGGGAAGATCAGAATTCTACTGTGGTAAAACAAGTGACTCGTAGGTGTTGTATGCATTTGTCTGGTAAGCAAAGTTTTCTAATAATATCGAGACGTGTGACCTCCACAGGTGTCACAAGTTGCGGGAGTGGCCTGTATGACACCTATAGGTGTCATTTTGTTTCCGGTGGTTTATTTAGGTGCACGGGAGCTTTTTCCTGCATTTATTATAATCAGTCGATAATTTATCCCACGTAGGTGGTATGGCGGGCATCTTCTATGGGAGATTGTCTTTTTAATGGTTTTTCGCTGATTTCTCGTTTTTGCGGCGAGAGACTATTGCCGTTGAATAGAGTGTGCAGCTTATAGAGTGGGGACAGTGAAGAGGCGCAGAAATGTCTCTCATGCATAGCACGGCGCCATTTTTGATAAGCAGTCCGTTGTTTCCAAATTTTAATTCATGACTCTTGGGCTTGGTTTGGAATGAGGAGATATCAAAACTGAAGGCAAACATTGTAATATTCAGTGAAAAATTTATAGAACTTCATTAAATGCTGACAGCAGCATGGTTGCATAGTGGCCGAGTGTTTTTTTTCGTACACAAGAGTTGTATATGCATCAAAATATGGGAGGATTTGTAGAAGAACGCCAAGCAACCATGGGGTAACAAAAGCACAGAAATTTTTTCAGTATGCAGAGAAAAACCAAATCATAGGACGGAAATCACAATGAAGTGGTGCGCGCCTACAAAATAACTGCCGGAGTGGCCGGTGTGACAACCATAGGTGTCACAGTGAGCACGGCGAAAAATACGCTCGACTTTTCGACTACTCTGTAAGGACGTGAAATTACGCGGCGTTGCAAGAATGTTAAATTCTAATAGTTTTCATTGCAATTAATAAATTTCGGTAGTCGTCACTTTTTATTTACAGCCGATTATTTTTAGTGACACGGTATTATGTGAAATTTAACCATGACGGGCGCGTGTGACGCACTGGTCAGAGGCGCCCTGCGACACACACATGGGATCGATCCGCACGCCTGTGGCTCGCCAAGCCTTCCATCACTTCGGAGAGGGCAGATTGATACAACACTTTTTTGGGAGGGTAGTAGCCCTTTTTCGATACATCGGCTGGCCACCGCGAGTCATTGTGAAGACTAGATATGCATTCACTCACCTCCAAGAATGCTTAATGAAGTCGAATGCATGGCGCATCCTTCAAGGATTGATCATCACCGAGAGCTTTATCCCTCATTTTTTCATAACCATGACGATGCCGAGATGTTTGCAAAATTCCGGACCGCAGGTGTTTGACATAGGGAACGAACACGCTATTACCCTTTCCGGGGGCTAACGCCTTCACCACCGCGCCATGCGAATCCTTGCGAATCCTTCGTTTCGCCTTTCTCTCAGTCTTATTTAGTTTTGCCGTGTTTACTGCCCACAGCAGACACCAAGTGTTCGGAGTTTTCGATATATCTCGGCATCATCATGGTTATATCGAAAGCAGTCATTATTTTCGTATCGTATGACTTCTACAGGGGTCACGTTGTCGCGTACGTGTTAAGCATTCAAATGTTCAAGTGTGCACAATCAAGGCATTGAGCACGGTGGATCAAGAGTTTCAATGTTTGTTACTGATGTTTGTCGGAACAAATCCTCTTGTATGACAACGTACGACCATCTACTGGTCAGCAACCAAACTTAATAGAACTGAAATGTTACATAGGAAGGTTTCTCCATACAAAATACTTAGCAAATATTTTTCAGACGTAATACCTTTTTGAACACCATGCCTACCTAATTTCCGATAAGATTTCTAGCAAGAAAGTTGTTTGAAGATTACTAGGGAAGATCCGTAAAGATCGTTCAGGCCTGGAATTCTACAGTGTTAGAATAAGTGGTCTTTTACAATTACAAGATTACATAGATTATAATGGTATACATACCGAAAAACAATAAAGTCTACTGTGAGGTGAGATATGTAATAAGCTCACTTTGTTGTTAATGTTTCCAATTCCACGGATAATAAAGGATGAAAGATAAAGGATAAAATTCTCGCCAATGATCAATCCCTGATGGGCGCGCCATGCATTCGACTTCATTAAGCATCGTTTGGAGGCGACTGGTCTCTGGCCATGCATATTTGGCTTTTACAATGACCCGCAATTGCCTACCAATGTACTCGAACCAGTGCTGCTACTCTCCCAGACAAGTCTGGTACCAATTTGTCGACCCCGGAGGGATGGAGGGCTTGGTGGACCATGGGCGCGGATCGATTCCACGTGTGTGTCGCAGTGGCATCTCCAACTATTGCGCCACACAAGCCTTTTAATTCCACGGATATGTAGAGTTTTCAAGTGCTGTTTTCTATTTTCTGAGTGCTATTTTCAATTTTTTAGCTGCTTTCGGAAAAGTTAGTGTCACAGAAACGACGGGTGATGATGAAAGACTGTGTAAGAATAATCTATTACTGTCACGTACAACGGTCAAGTGGCTGCCGTTATGAGATGAGCGTCTGCGTACCAAATAACTCCGACGAAAAGGTCAAGCTTGATTTTTTTTCATTTTTCTAGTTTTCTTTCTCTCTAAATTTTCATCTGATGTTCGTCTGCTAATTGGCGGTACGTTATTTGTATCCTGTCTGTATTTGGGGTTCATTCTGTAACAATCCGTTGGTTCGGTTTCTATATTATTTTTGACTTTGTTAGCAAAAGTAGATATGAGTAAGTAATGACTTCATGATAATAACAAGAGGATTCCAGACTTGTTTTTTACTGATAGAAATGCGTACAAGTTCATTAACTTTATATCAACACTAGGAGGGATGGAAGGCTTGGTGGGCCATGGGAGCAGGGATCGATTCCACTTGTGTGCTGCAGTGGCGCCTCCAACCACTGCGCCACACGCGATTATTTATCGTATTAAGCAATCCAGCAATGCTTCTGTATGCAAAAAGCCCATAGATAAGATCTTCTACGGTGGAAAGTTTTCTTCTTAACTGTGCGATTTAGAAGATATCGTTTGCTATGAGGAGAGTGTGACTGTGTTTTCACATGAGATTGACCGTATTTTCATTTTGTCTTGAAACTTTATCGCCTTATAAATTACCCCTTGTAATCTAATAGTTTTTCGAAAAGTTTCATGAAAATCTCAAAAATTTTCTTGTAATGTTCTCTAAAAAGTATATTAAATCTTGCTTGTCATTCCACATTCGATCAACAGAGCTGCTGTTTTGTTACAGTTCCTTTGAGGATCAACACAGCTGTTCCAAAGTTTCTAGTGGGTATAACGTGTTTGGTTTCTTAATGACCGGTCACTTCATCGTTGGGTAGAAATGGCTGACTGAGATGCCTTTTATTGCTCATGGTTTGCTTTGCAGCATAGACAATTTTTCAACCAAATTGTGTTCGGTACTTCCGTGTCGACCAGTTACAAACCCCGCTTCAAAGTATCTGGTCACTCTATGGAAGAAAAAAATTTCAGTAGAAATAACCACTTCCTTGAAAGAAAATGTGATGACTTTTTTTCTTCGTTTTCTTATCTTGAAATTCTCGAGCACTACACTCTCATTCTATTGCCCATCTCGTACATACACATTGAAGTACCAATGATTTGCGAAAAAAGCATTTTCTGTCGATAAGGGCCTCCAAATTTCCAAATGATGCTTCTCGTCTAAGTCTTCAGCCTCTATGCCAGTACTAGAAAGTTTGTCTATATTTTTCTGGAGCAAGCACGAGATATCTTTTTTGCGGTTAAGCTGACCGTTCGCCGGACATCACCTTTATTAGAGCCTGGAAAAGTCAATTTGTCTGCAATCGACCCATCATCTCCATAACGAAGCAGAGAAGATACTAAGCCAAAATTTCAATCGCATTGCGAACATATTAGTTTTTTCGCACATTCACTGCACTTTCTACAAGTCTTCCGTTGCGTATTTCATCTGGAGACCAACCGTACAGAGTTCACATGGAAGCGTAATAGGCCTCTCACATTAAAATATCGACCTGAAATACAATGTGAAATCACGCGTGGTTACGAGGTATTCCTCCCTGCAGTTCATTTTCGGATTCTTTGAACTTATCCAGAAGGCCTGAAGAGTTTTGGGCATAGATGTTTTGGATTCCTTTGCCAAGAAATTTCTCCTTCAAAATCTTTTCCATTATATCTCTGTGTTCTATAATGATCCAAATGGAGTATTTGGTTTAAGTTTATGTTTGCCGACTAGGTATTCTTTCATATGAACGCAGAGTGGTCTACCCGTTTCGCCAATGTATTCTTCCCCGTACGCTTTGCAAGAGATCAGATAAACCGTACCCGAGTTCACGTAATCGTGGTATCTACCGTTAAGGCATATTATGTAATTTTGCATTCTGCTTAGGCGGTCATACAGGCAGTTGCGAACTTGATGGCATTTTAGAGCGCTCATTAGTGTTTCAATCACTCTTACCGAATACTTTGGACCGGTCCTTCCTAATCAACGTTTTATAGCTGAACTTATTTTGTTGGAAGTGAGTGGCAGGATAGACATGATCTTATTACCGGCTAAATTCATGGTTTTGCAAATCTCGATTTCCCTATGCATCTGTTCCCGAAGAGTTACAGGCCAAAATAGCCATTCCCAATGGCTGCGTAGCCATTGGAAATGGCTATTTGCAGCACTATTTTCAGAGATTCTACCTTCTGCTTTCTTCCTGTGCACACATTCGTTCGAAACATGTTTCTTGCAAGCGCCTTTTTTGGGTGTGTGGCGTGCGTGGAGTGGTAGTAAACAAGTATTTTTGTAGTACTTGGCTTTCGGTACCACTTCGTGATGTGGCCGTTTTCGGGCAGGTTAATTTGAACATTCAGAAATGGAAGCCATTTTTTTTTGGTTTCTCTCTGGTAAACTTAGTGTACTGTTCATCGAATAACTCAAGACATTTTTCCATTGCCACTTGTGGGAGTTAACGACAAAGCAGTCATCTACATATCTACAGCAGTGGCTTGAGTAGTGGCAAGAGCTCGTGTCAATCACTCACCCATTGCCGATCCTCTCATTTTTGACTATTATTTTTCGGACCATCTGAAGAATGAGAAGTTTAGGTGCTCTTTCTAAAGGACGACCTTGAGAGGGCAGGCAGTGGGACAGCGACTGGCATCAAATACCGCCATCGCATTTATGTCTAAGGTGGAAGCACCAATGACCGATCTCCGGCCATTACTCTTACTTGATACTTGATACTTGAATGACCCGTCCTCACTGGTTGTGCGGGCCCTAGCACAATCTCCACTTTTCGGAGATTTGCTGGTTAAGCCATTGTGGTTCCCTGGAATCCCGAGACCAGTGTGGCCAAAGTATGCCCAGGTCGACTAGTTTGATACCAGGACGGTGGTGTATCCTGGTATTGCTTTACTCTTAGCTAGGCTTCCTGATGGAAACGTCGGCCATTACTCTACTGTAGATATATAGATGATTGCTTTGTCGTTTGTTTCACACAAGAAGAAATGGGGAATTGTTTTGAGTTATTGAATGAACAGTCAGAGTACATTAAGTCTAGCCGAGGAAAACCGAAAAAACTGCCATCCATTTCTGAACGTTCAAATTAACATATCCGAAAAAGATTATATCAAGAAGTCCTATCGACAGCCTGGTAGTAAAAAGCAATGTTTCATTACCTCATCTCTCACCCTCACGCAAAAAAAGGGCTCATGTAAGAAACATGTTTCGAAAAGCCACGATTATGGGTACAGAAAAGGAGCATGAGGAAGAATCCGTCAAGTTGGCACGCCATTACGGCTGTTCACCGTTTTTCAACTCAAAGGCTGTTTTGCTACATATCGATGAGAACTGCTCGTTAAGCTGCAGGAGTGTCAACGGTCATTGACTCACTTTCAGCACGGCATAAAGAGGTAGTCGCATATCGAAAAAGTCTTAAATAAATAAGGATAGCGATGACGGCGTTTATCAATCACTAAGGGATGCGCCATGCCTTCGATTTCATTCATCCTTGTTAGGGATGATTAAATGCATATCTGGCCTGCACAATGACTAGCGATGGCCTACTGATCTATCGAATCATTGCAATCATCGACCCAGACAGGTCTAGTGGCAATTTACCGACCCTGGAGGGATGGAAGTGTTGCTGAGCCCGGGATGCAGGATCGAACCCGTGTGTATTGCGGAGCTCCTCTAACCATTATGCTACACGCTCCTGTCTTGAATGTGATACGTTATGACAAGTGGTCTTTGTATGATATCTCAGTATTATTCATTGTGTTTTATCAGAATTTGCAAGCTCATGGTGATCTTCGAAGAAAAGATAATGAAGCTTTAAAGTAGAGTAAACATGAGTTGTTTTCCTGTTTGCCAGATGTTCTATTTGTTTCGATGATATTAATATTTCTTAAGTGGTTTCAGTTGCGAATAGACGATTTCAACGTCCACACATGTAATCCGGAAGATACGAAACTAAGACGGAGAGCAAAGCCTCAGATTGAGGACTTTGACAAGCCGATCGAGAAGCGAAAAGCACCAGCTAGTGGAACACTGTCTGGAAAGGACGATGGCAGTAAGTTCGCTTTTTGTCTTTATCTTTGTCTTTTTCCTGACATAACCTTACACCATCAACTGGCTGCAGAAAGCATTACGCTGAGAACGGCTGATAATTGAACCACTAATATGAAGTTTAAGTATCGATCTGTAAAGTGAACACTACAACGTTAAGAAATATTCATTCATAAAGCTGGAGGCATTTTTGCTTGTTAACTAATTATTATCATATTATTACAATATTGTTATTATATTATTATTATATTATCATAATATCATCATAATATTATTATACCGGGCGGAATGGTCAGAGGCGCCCTGCAACACACGTGGAATCGATTCCCGCGCTTATGGCCCACCATGCCTTTCATTTCCCCGGCGTCGGCAAATTGGTACCAGACTTGTCTGGGAGGACAGCAGCACTGTTTCAATACATCAGTAGGCCACCGCGAGTCATTGTAAAGGCCAAATAAGCATCCAATCACCTCCAAACGATGCTTAATGAAGTTGAATGCATGGGCGCATCTCTAAGGGATTGTTCAACGCCAAGAGCTTTATCTTTCTTTTATCATTTATATTATTATACTGCTATTACTATTATTAACTAATTATGATTGCATAAGCTCGGGTATATTTTATCTGATCTCTTGTGAAGGGTGCAGGAACGAGTACTTTGGCGAAACGGGTAGACCTCTCTGCGTCCGTATGAAAGAACACCTAGTGGAAAGACTTAAAGCAAATTCTCCACTAGGCGCGCATAGGACGCAGAGGCATAACGAGAAGGATTTTGAAGTAGGGGTTACAATCCTTGCACAGGAGTCGAAAACACAGGCGAGGGAAACTCTCCAGACATTCTGGATTAATTCCAAGAATCCGAAAATGATCCACAGGGTGAAATGCATCATTATCACGCGTGATATTTAGCAGTGTTTAAACCTGTTATTTTGAAGGGAGGGGCAAATTACAATTCCGTGTGAACTCGGTGCGGTTGGTCTCCACGTAGCATATTTAGTGGAAGACTCATAGAAAGCGGTGAGTGTGCAAAGACTGTGTTCAATGTGATTAAAATTCTGGTTTAGCATTTTTCCTGTTCGCTCATGGAGGTGTTTGGCCGAGTAGATTGCAGTCAACTTGAACTTCCCAGGCTCTGAGGAAGGCGAAATCTGCCGAAACATCAGCTTGTGCATAGAAGAAATAAAATAACACCTCGCGTTTTCTAAACAAGAGTATAAAGAATTGTTCGATCAATGCCGAGGTCAATAGACAGTCAGTTATGGGAGTTACAATATTAAGACTTTACGCAAGTTTTTTTCTTTTATGTATAGGCCGCCAAAAGTCCGTTTAGTTCCTGATTCGAATGGGTTACTTTGTAAGAGAAATTTGAAACTTAGCTTGCGTAAGAAAACCCTTCTGGAACCAATAGAAGAAGGCTCCATGACAGTATCCTGAGCACGAACTCTTTTCTGTATTTCTGTAACACATTCAGTTCTTTGGTGACTGATGTAAATTTTTGGCCTGCTTTCGAAGAGTTCCTTGTCCAGAGCGTTGTTGTAGTGGAAGGCTTTATTCTGGTTGGTGAGGCAAAACGTCGTCTTTTACCTGCTTACTCTTAAAGCGGTCTTTTTATCAGTGCAGTTGATGCCGAGTCCTTGCCGAAGTCAAATGAAAGCATTCATGAATCGTTCTTTGAGAGATACTTTGTACTTTATGCATTAACTTCAATACATTTGGGCGGGTTGCGGAAACTTACACGTCTTGCACCGCCACCGTAGAAAATTAGGCGTCACCACGAACGCGAGATATTCTCTATGCGTTGGTCTACTGACGAAAGAGAATACAATGTGTTGGGAATATTCCGACAACAGTTCAAGCGAAGTTGAAGTTGGATCAGACGTGTATCTAAGAAGAAAGTAGGTGCTGAGATTAGTTTTCTCTTTTTGGCCAGCCAACTTTGGTTTATCTCGGGAATTCGTTAAATTACCGTTGGATTTATTTCAATATAAATTGTAACTAAAGGCTGTGAATAAGACATTGTCGTCGTGCTGTCAGTTACAAAAAAGCTTTATTGAGCACTTTCATCTAAGCTTAGAATACAATAGAATATTAAGTTATAGTTTGTCTCCAATTATTCATTTAAGGTGCTACTTCATGCTCGTTTGGCGACACGATGACGAATTTCCTGAGCGGCGTCAGCGATCATTTCGATGCCGACAATGATTTTGAGTTGGACCAGGTAGTAACGTAGAGAATTCTGCTCCGTTATTAATGACGATTGTCTTTAAGTGAGAATGGGTTTGGGAAAAATAAACTACTTGTAATCATACTCTGGATACATCGTACGCCTCTCTACACACAAGAATTCCACGGTTTGTATTCCACTTCCAATCCCTATTGACGTGTTCCAAACCTCGTTTTAATAGCTTCATTTGGTGGTAATAATCATAAAAATAATTCTATTTCAACAGCAATGGCGCTGAGATATTTATAAAACTCCGGACCGCAGGTGACTGCGGTTGGGAACGAACGCGCTATTACCCTTTCCGGGGCTAACGCGTTCACCACCACACCATGCTGGTCCTTCGTTTCGCATGTCTCTCAGCTAGTTCTAATGAGAAGCTGAGGCTGTAGTTAAAATCATAATGTTTACTTTTTATTTGCTGCCTACTACATTTGTTTATGGCAGGGTATTATGCGAAATGCTATCCTATTTCAATCCTTAGATGAAAACGGGCCGATTAGTGCGGATTCGAAAATAGTAAATTGGTACTTTCTTTCCAATAAGAATTCATTGGATTTTTAGAGTGATGTTGGGTGTACGGACTTCACGATAGGACCGAATGAGAATCTGGTGAAGTTCATCTCAGAATTCGGGCACGGAAATAAGCCCATTGAGGTATTCTTATGTTTGTTTTTTTGTACCTTCATCCTATTGCTATATTTCCATTTTTTTCGTCTTACCTTTAAACTAACTAGAGCTATGCCATGAACTGAATTTCAGACTCACTAGTGGTGATAAATATATTAAGCATATAACCTTTTTTTATTTTTTTGGGCTTAGATTTCTAGGTTTTTTAAGATTTAAATTACTGGGATTGGGACTCACAATGTTTTTAAATTGTTGAGCTTACACGAGGTTAATAAGATTGTTTTATTCGGCTAACGTTTCAACATCTTCGTCTTCATTGGAACCGATGATCCAAGCCGATAGTCCACAGTTGTTCTTCTTCTTGATGTGGCGTCTTCGTAATCGCACCGAGACGGATCTTCTCGTAAGTGGAACACCGCACGAATGACGAGTCTGACCCGGTGATGCATTTCTATACAAGGTGGTTATTGTTGATTTGACTATCCGTTGATAATAATTTGTTTTTCAACGGATAATCCACTCTGCCGCAGCCGGTGTTATGTAGCTAGAACAAAGCGAATTTTTTAAAAATTTTTATATGACCCAACCGTCTGCACGTCTACTGTATGGATCCCAACACATCTCATGTTATTCGATTCGTTTCCTCGCATCACACTCGATTCGTTTCCTCGCATCCATTATCCACGAAGATCTTCCAACTTTTATGTGTGGCATCAGCTATTGCTTGAGGATTTTCAATTCATCTTGAATGTCGCAGATTGGTGGTCGTGTCAATTCTCCTGGACTCCTGAGATAGCTGGGCTGGAGCGTTCCCAGCTGGACTGCAGAGAGTGATTTTTTCCCGGACAAGTCCGGGACTAACTTCCGGCCCCGGAGAGATGCGAGGCTGGCTTAACCCGGAGCGGAATCGAACTAACACAATGATCGTGATGATAGACATCAGTACCACTGTGCTATCCCTCCTACTGCACAAAGCGAATAGCCAAACAATTTTCAAGCCGACCGTCATTTAACCTCGATAGTAAAACAATCAACATTTTTAAATTATTGAGCTTACACGTTATAAACGTTAGCCGAAGTGAACATCATTATCAAGCTCGTGCTGTCAACCAAGTCTTCAATTTAAAAAGTTCATTATTTCATTACCGAGGTTAAATGACGATTAGTTTGAAGGTTGTTAAATTCACAATGTTCGACTTCTATTTACTGCCCGCTGTTGTTTTCCGTGGGATGGTATGATGTGGAATCCTATCACAATGATGCTGAGGTACGAGCAGCATCATTGTGGTTGTATTGAAGTTAATTGTGAATTCTTACTAGGTACTTTAAGTTAAGTTAGTAAGTTAAGTAAGAAATTTGCAACTTACGATTGCTTATGTATTGCTGTGCGTTCATTCATTCGGCTAAGAAAAAAGGCGATGTAAGAGAAGAAACGGATAGGAACTTGACCTATGTTGTTAAAGTCGCTTTTCTTCAGTGTTCCAGCCATATTTATGTTCGTTTGAGTGGAGTTAATGTGGACTTTTTCCATAGCATCCCACCAAGTGGTAGTTATATTAAAGCCAATCGATCAATAAATCAGTCGTTTTTCTGTTCAAAATCCGTCAACTTCGGTTGGACGTATTAGCTTAACCGCTCGTATACGTTTTCTGTCCTTCTTTCAGGATATCTTAGAAACTCCTATAATTCTCCTATAAACTCCTATAATTAATGTAAAGTAAGCTTTACTAAACTTTATTGCTATAGAGGTTTTAGATAAATTTTTTGGGCATTGACTGTAACTTTTACAACCTGAGCTCTTTTAATTTTTGTTCACTTATTTGTTTAGTTATTTGCAACAAGGTGAAGTGATTACGTCATCAGATGCCTAAAATAGCTCAAAAACTCGCATCGAATCAACGAGGGCGGGTCGTAAGATTCGTAAAATATGCTCTTAAAACTAGGAAATCGTAGTGAATGAGAATTTGAAACGCGTCATCTGTATAATACTGATTATGTTCTAAAACAAAAAGCATTTGTACGTCATATGTTGGTCGGTTTTATAATTTGCAATTAATGCTTTTCGAACTGTGATTTTTTTAAAAGTTCGTTCTTCAAGAGGATTTAGATATTAGCTATAGTGCTAATGGTTCTTTCTAGAGCGGCGTTATGAGCCATTCTGGTCCATCAACTGTTTGGACGACAATCAGTGTCGAAGTGGTAGATTTTTCGAAGCATCCGGATCCTCCATTCACTCATGTTTTCCACGTTCGAGACGAGGTTTGTAGGTTTTTTCACATTAATTCACAATTTTCGGTAAATAATTTCGGTGAGATGGTATCGCCTTGCCTCAATCCTCTTTTGACGTCAATGTTAATATCGTTCTAGAATGATGATATCTTGGTTGTGAATTCTTTGTACAGCTCACGAAGAATCCTTACATATTCCTTATATACTGAGTAAGGACTCTCTGACTATCAAGGGCTTCCATAACTGATTCTATTCCAATTAAGTCAAAAGCCTTCTTTAAATCGATGAATGTGAGGTAGAGCGGTCTTTTTTATCCTCGCAATGCTACGATGATTCTTATTATCGTGTAGATGTGGTCCATCGTACTAAACCTTTTCGAAACACTGCTCGCTAACGTGGCTGCCCTTCATCCAGTATTCTGTCAGTCCTGTTTAGGATGACTCGAGTGAAAAGTTTGTAGACGACAGACAGCAAGCAGTTTGGGCGATAGCTGCGATATTGTGGACGTCACCCTTCATGAACACTACTACGGTGATGCTGGTCTTCCACTGAGTGGGGACCTTGCATTCGGAAAGGTAACGTGTGAACGTCGGCCGAGCCAGTGTGTTTACGACGACTGACGGAAGGTACTTCAAGTGTTCAGATCTTATCCTGTCCGGACCTGGTGCTTTTCAATTTTTCACCGATGAAATGCAAGTTGGATTTCGGAAGGGAGAACTGGTGGTACAATACATCCATCCTCCTTTATTTCATATGGCCTGAGGTCGACGTGGCTTGAGTGTTTCTGGAAACAAACGTCTCTTGGTGACTTTCGTACTCTCAGCTTTCATAGCGTTAATGTGAAGATGTTGAATGAGCCGATCGTATTCCTCCTCGATGTTATCGGCAACGACATCTTCCCAACAGACGACTAGCGAATTGAATAAGTCCCAGCTTATGGTGGTTTTGGGACTTCTTTTTTTGAATTTAGCGGCTTTTCTCCTTTCCACGAGAAATGGAACTTTGTTCGAAAAAGGCGAAGGTTTGGTCCCGTATAGAATTTTAGGACAACAGCGACATCAGTAAAGGAGAATATTCGATTATCGACGATTCAGATGCAAGTATGCGTGCAGTGTAGGTGCAAATCATCATCTTAGTCCTTGGCGATTTAGGCATCTTAGAATGGCCTTGAGAGTTTAGCAGCTTCTCCATTATTTGTTTATTTACCGCCAACCTCGAGAACGTCATGTAAACATTGGAATGGGACCACATTGGAGTGAAAATCTGTGGTCGGTAATTCCACTATCTTCACTTTGCTGATGACGTTTTTCTTGTGACACCGAACATTAGCCAAACGGATTGAATGCTTGTCGACTTTGATAAAGCCTGTGGAATAGTCGGCCTTCAACTAAATCTCACAAAAACGATGTTCATGAGGAATGGATTGGTTGCGTGTGCCCCACTCACGCTCAGTGGAATGGATATCTCTGAATGCTTTAATTAAGTCTATCTTGGTTGGGAAATCAATATAATGAACGCCTTAGCTCCAGACCTGCGCAAAAGGAAACGAGCGGATTGTGGAGCTTTCAAGAGCATCGAGGATATAGTCAAGAGAACAAAGAACACCCGTCTCTACGCTCACTTTTTCGACTCAACGATACTTCCTGCCTTAACGCATGCGTCAGAAACCTGGTCGCTGCGTAAGAGGATGAAGGCTTGCTCAGTGTTATTGAACGTGCAGTCGAAAGGACTATGGTAGGAGTATCCCGTGTCATACAAGTAAAGGATGGGATCCGAGGCTCCGATTTGCGTCAACGACCAGGATTCAAAGATCCCGTTCTGTGCACCAAACAGTCGAAGATAAGTGGCCCAAACACGTAATGCCTATGAACGACAGTCGATGGATAACAGCCGTTAATGGCTGGTTTCCTCGGGATGTCGAGCGTACTGCAGGAAGATGGTCAGAGTTCTTCACGAAAAGCGTAGAAGAAGGATGTGTTGCGCAACGAGTCCCTAGAGCGAGCAGAACCCACTGGGCTACTCTTGCACGCGACAGAGAGAAATGAAAGGTTTACTGACGCTTGCTCGAGTCACTCAGCGATGAAAGAGACTACAGGTGATAGAGGTGATAATTCACAATTTTATTCTAAATGTTCTCAATTGATTATGTGGATCATTTCATTACCAATCTACGAAGCGTAGATGTTGAAAATAGGGCAGAAATATTATTATGGAAACTATCAAAGGTTGGTTTTGCAGAAGGCTGCTTCCCAACATTCTGTTTACAGTATGCTTCTAAATGATTTCCTTGCAAACGTGCGCATCCAACTTATCTACATAGAGTTGCAGTCATTTTGTTTGTGATCTGTTAGCGTTTTGCAGAGTGACAAAAAATACTCAGCTGGTATGTTTACGAAGTCGAAGGTCATGAATGTTTATCTGGAACGTGAAATCTGATTGGATGTACTGAACAATGAGCTAGAGAGCTGGCAAGCACCTATCCGGCGGAAGTAGCGATTGCGTTTTCGAATTATGTATCCTCTGGAGTTTCAGCCAATATTGTTGCTATTCTCTCTCTCTTTAAATGTACAAGATTCGATGCTCACTGCTGTATAAAGGATAGTGAGTTAAACATTCGCTTTCCTCAGTTCCTAAGAGAGATGCGCCGTGCATTTGATTTCGTTGAGTATCATAAAGATCAATGATTGCTTTTTGGCCCATGCAATAACTACCGGGAATCAATCGAAGTAGAAAATGGTTCGATACAACCACAATGATGCTGAGATATTTGCAAAACTCCGGGCCGCAGGCGTCTGCGGTGGGGAACGAACGCGCTATTACCCTTTCCGGTGACTAATGCGTTCACCACCACAACATGCTGGTCCTTCGTTTTGCCTGTCTCTCAAATAAAAAGTTAACATTATGATTTCGACTACAGCCTGAGCTTAACTGGATTCATTGCCGATTTGGGCTCCTCAGATCAATCCTGTTGACGGGTGATTGTTAACACTATCATTATCGTAAAAGATTGGCTAAGAAAAAGGCAAAGCAAACGCTTTGGTGGTGCGGTGGATAACACGTGAGTCCTCTGGAAGGGTAATCGCGGACTAGAAACTTGAGATTCTGGGTTTTACAAATATCTCAGCCCCACTGCAGTTGACTTTTAAGTTGTTCTTTCTGTTCACCGTTTTAACGAAATGTGAGTTATAGATATGAGAAAAAAGGCAAGAAAAGGACTTGTAGGCTCTTCAAAACCTGAATCTGATTTTGGTAAAATGAATAAATTTGTTCCTTTATGAGAAAAGTCTGTGTAGTCGCTTTCAATCGTTCCAGCGACTCCATATTGGAGCGCCTTAAAATTTCTGAGTGCAAAGACCTCTTGGGGACTTTCGAACTCTACTTTCTTAGCTGTGGTAAAGATTATATGAGCCTATCGTGTTGCTCATATGTTTTCGACAACGATAGTTTTCTGAAATTCCGGTAGGAAAGTGGAGAAGTTCTAGTTTATATGATGGATTGAGGAGTCCATTTGCTCAGTTATGCGACTTTCTGTCATTTCTACGAAAAAAAATGACAGCAAAGAATTAAGCGAAGATTTTGGTTGTCCAAATTTGAGTAGAGCTTTGGAACAATAGCGGTTTCGGCAAAAACATTTGACAGCGACGTAGTATATTTTACTGTTTCCCTTTGTTTGCATTACCATATGAAGCTCTAGCTATTCTACATCTACAGCTCCGGGCAAACCAGAGAAGACATAATGGTGTTGCTCTCAATATTATAGAATTACTTGTCTTAGTTAATGAAAGCTAGGACAAACGATAGGCAGTATTTCCGGCGGATCCTTGTCACTTGAGAATGTTTGGCTGTGGTCCATGCAGCTAATTATTCCAAATGAGGCTCCCGTTACAAGTTCGGTTTATCGCGTTCATCAAGTATGACGCCAGGATGATGTTAGAGAAAATTTTAGAATACTTAATGAGAGGGTGCAGCGGTAGTCACGAGGTATAACTCAGTTGCTTTTTTTTTGCGAAAAGGAATGATGGGCAAGGTGCTACGCTGGAAAAATATACGTTCCATTTGCAAGCGTTCCAACACATTTGCTAGAAATAAAACGTTTCACTTGGGGTCGCTAACATTGAGAGATAATCCGGCGTTTTCTTCACTCCAGGAACTGTGCCAAGCTTAGAGCTTTCACAGCTGTGTATGAAAAGGATCGTTTTTGGTGTGATTCATGTTGAAATGGTAGATCTTACAGATTATATGGCTCAGCGGTTTCCGATGGGGAGAGTAGAGGAGGTATCGTTCACATCGGTAGCTGTTAGATGTATATACTTATTTGCCTTTCGACCTAGTGATTATAAGCACTCAGTAATCTCCATGACCGTATTCACCGTTCTCTGTGATTTTTTAATTGACAATAACTTCCTAACATTTTCTTAAAATATTTTGGAAAACTACCACGTGCAGAAGTATTATCTTTTGGGAGTTTTGCTGGTTTAGCTGTTGTGTTTCCCTGGAGCCACGAGGTCAGCATAGCCAAAGTCTGCTCCAGGTCGTCACCATCATAGGCAGTCCCAACCCTTGTGGATCAGATTTGTCACCACGCAACTTGTTTGATTTGTTTGAGAAAGATTTGTCACCACGCAACTTGTTTGATATTAGGAGGGAGGTCGGTCGTGATATTGCCTTACTACTAGCCAGGCTTTTTGATTGAAAAGCCGAACCCCTTCTCGGCCTGGAGATCTTGCCGGGGGATGAATCCCCCGCTGTACATTTCAGCCCGACACCCAGGAACACTTGCCAACTACGATGAGGCGGTATACCGTTGGAAGAGGCAACCCAGAGTACCTTTACTGGAGTGGATCTATGAGCAGAGTTGCTGGATTTGGAAAATATGTTAAATGTTAAATGTGTGCTTCCAAAATTATTTAAGGCCTCGCAATATTCTTACGCAAGTCCGATGGTTGGAAGTTGTCCGGAGGTAGTGGCAGATGCACTACTTACACTTTTCTTCTTATTCGGTCCTCCGAAATCGGCAAAATTGGACGCTGCTTATCGAGGTGAGAGTGGTTTTTTTTCATCATAACGTCTTTAGTACTTCGATCAATAATCAGCGCAATTCGATGTGATTTAATGCCGTTATGATGAATGATGAAGGACAAAGTAAATGCCGTACTTGTGCTTTTCCGCAAACTCACAGCATTCTTGAGTAGTTTAATGGCTTGTATTACTTACCTACTTAGATACTTGGATGGCCCGCCCTCACTGGTTGTGTGAGCCCAACATAATCTCCATTTTTTCGTAATTCTGCTGGTTTAGCTATTCTGTTTCCCTGGAATCCCGAGCTCAGTCTGGTCAAAGTCTGTACGACGTCGTCACCACCACAGGCAGTTGCGTCCCTAGTGGATCAGAGGGTTTTGCCACCATGCGACTAATTTGATACCAGGACGGTGGTGGATCCTGATATTGGTTTATTCTTAGTTAGGCTTCCTGATAGAAACGTCGGACCCCTTCTCAGCTTGGAAGACCCCGACAGGGGGATGAATCCTCCTGCTGTACACCGCAACCCGACACCCAGGAACACCTCCTAGCCACGATGAGGCGGTAAACCGTTGTGAGGAATGCCTTGTGTTAGTTCTACAACGTTTTGAAAGTTTGCTTAAAAATGTTGTCATTCTTGCAGTTGTATCAAATTAAATACTGTCCTTGTGATCCTTATCACATTTTTCTTGGTATGTTTTTATAGGGACCACTTTGGAAGGAATTTTAGCGGAGAAATTTCCATCAGTGAATCTAATTTTTCACGTAGAGAGCAGAAACAAGCAAGGTGGCATTGCGCCAAGGTTGGTTGTAGCCTTTTTCTTTAGTTCGAGTATTTTTCTCAAAGTAGCGGTGCATGTAGCGCAGTGTTTAGAGGCTCCGTGCAATACACATGAGTTCAATCTCGTGGCCAAAGCTTAGCAAGGCTTCCATCCCTCCGGGGTCCGCAAATTGGTACTAGACCTGTCTGGAAGGATAGCAGCACTAACGTGATTCATCGGTAGACCACCACGAGTCATCATGTAGGCCAGCTATGTATTCAATCACCTTTAGCTGAAGTCGAATGTATAGCGCATCTCTCTGGGATTAATCGACTCCGAAAGCATTATCCTTTATGCCTTTAATTTTCTCAATGTACTATTTTGATAGGATACCGAAAAGGATTTTCATCATTGTCGTCAATCACCTTCCTCACCTGTCCACTTATTGTCGAATGTTTGGATTGAGTAGGTGTGCATTTTCGATGTCACAAGCGAGGCCACGTGGTCCAGTGTGTTTCACAAGTCTGGAACTCTGAGTGTGTCACGCTTTTTGTTTAAAGATCTTTGTGAGGAAGTGTGACGATCGTGTTTTTGATGTCTGAGTTGTATGCTTGACATCTTATAGGGTCCAGTTGCTAAGGAACCTTTCCCACCGACTGTCGTGAAGACATATCTCATGACCCGACTACCTAGTTCTCGACATTTTGGCGTATAGGACAGCGTCGCCGGTCTTTGTTTGTCAACGTATTCTGAGCTTCAGGTTGCCCTCTCACTTGCGTGATACGAGATACTGTTAGCATTATCCTTTTGATAGTACACTCAATAAGAGTGGTTCTTCTTTCTGCTTATTTAGCTTTTAATTTTGGAGTGAATGTTAAGAATGCAAGGATCCTGGGATCTAAAAGTTGAAAACGATTTCATTTATATTTCTTCTCATTCTACTTTCAATGCTGTGTTGTAATCAGTAGACCACTTCTATGCTCCTGTTCCGATGTGGTGATCAAGGTATATTTAGCTGAGAAATTCTATTGATATCCATTTCTTTGAGTATGAGGAGAGTTTAGCATGAAACGAAGTACCTACCGATATCGGGAACGAATCGGTTCCGTTTGTCTTTGTCATAGTTAAGTTTTCTTTAGATTCAACCTAACACTAACCGAAGGCTGTTGAAATCCGCCATTTATGTTATCGTAAGGTAGCTCTACCAATCCTGTTGAGCAAGGAGCTTGCAGAATTAGGCAGATCGGGCAATTGCCGAGGTATTATTGGTTTCCTTCTTGTATAATGAGGTACCCTTTCTTGTCCTGCAGTTTATGGAAAGGGTAATCGTTGGTTTCAAGCCCACTCACCGGAGGTTCATCTCAGAATCCCTGTGCTTGTTTTTCACATCATAAAACCATAAACCATTAAAGAAACGATAGGTAGTAAAAAAAAAGGTTAAAATATAGTGATTTCGACCATACCTTCAGCGTAACTAGCTTCAATGGCGATTTGTGCTCCCGCGATCGGTCTCGTTAACGAGTGACTGCTAGTGCGACCGTTAGAGTAGAAAAAAGTTGGTTGAGTGAAGGGAAAGCAAGCGCCTCTATTAGTCTGGTAGATAGCACATGAACTCCCGGAAAGGGTAATCATAGGTTGGAATCAGGCCTGATGTTCCGAGTTTCGCGAATATCTCACCATTCTTGTGAATATAAAATCAGTACTTGTGACACTATCTACTAACCATGCGTTGGGACGAGGCAGATAAATTCGTCAGTCGGCGGATTAGGAGCTATCAATGAATAAAATCCGTGGACTCTCGACATACTTCTATATGTGCTGTTTGTTAACTTTGCTTACAACGAAGTATGTTTTATAACTACATGAATAATACGCCTTAGACTATTATTCTTGGAGCGTACCAATTCTGTCTATAGTCGAGAATGTTAGATCTTGTTGAATCTACGAAATTAACTGTAAACGAGGGATCTCAGGGTGATCCAACATCCAGGAGAAGTGCAAATTGGGAAACGAACATCGCAGTTTTTCAGGCGAGAAGAATCGATGATTCGTGAACGAATTTATGCATGGCTCATGGAGAATGGAAAGCTCAATTGGTGTAAGCATCTTGCTGAAATCAAATACATGCACAACTCGGAGTGGATTGATGAACTTGGTACTATATTTTAAAATAAAACCCCTTTTAATCTTTCTCTTATGCACTTATTTGGACACCTGGACACTTGGATGGCCTGTCCTCACTGGTTGTGTGGGCTGCAGCACAATCTCCATTTTGTCGGAGTTTTGCTGGTTTAGACATTGTAGTTCCCTGGAGTCCCGAGGTCAGCTAATAGCCTACCCTAGGTCGTCACCACGACAGCCAGTCGCTGCCCATGTGGGTCAGAGCGAGATTTGCCACCATGTGACTTTGACCCCAGAACGGTGACGAATCCTAGTATTGGTTTCTTCTTAGCTGGGCTTCCTGATGGAAACGCCGGACTCACCATCTTGGAGACCCTACGAAGGGGATGAATCCTCCCGCTATACATTGCAGTCCAACACCTAGGAACACCTCTTGGCCACGATGAGACCTTAAACCGTTGGGAGGTCTCTTGTGCACTACCTTACTTTCTCTTCTTACTTTATTTCTAGTGTCTGTTTTTGTCATATTTGGCGGTACTCACTTCTTATTACCTGTGTTTATTGCAAGAAATGTTAGCATATGGTTAAAACTCCTTGTAAAATAAGTGATTTTCCATAAATGGTTGTAAAATGAAACTGTTTTAAAATTGTTAGCAAGAGAAAGCTGCATTTTTCTTAATGTATTCTTTCTCCGACAGGGAAGTGTTGCAGGGAAAGATTTTTTATTTAGTGTTTTTCTTCAGGCGGAACGCCCATGGAGTTGTTCTTTGCTAAGCCTCGATCGGTGGAGACATCGCGAAAACGAAGAGCCGACCTAACGCTCCGTGATGATGACATGCAGAGTGACACTTACATTAACAATTCTTACGGTCAGTTCGTCTACAGTGGTATCCAAAGATATTTTCACCGCCACCTCATTTTGTAAAACGGTTCTTTTGAAAAATTTTGACCATAATAAAGGATAATTTGCATGAAATGCTGAGATATTTGCAAAACTCCGGACCGCAGGTGTATGCAGTGGGGAACGAACACGTGCTGTTGTTCTTACCGGGGAGCAGCGCACTTCACCACCACACCATCTGGGTCGTTCGTCCTGCCTGTCTCTCAGCTAGTTCTATCGATCTTTTTGCCATCAGCAATCAAGCGTCAACGGGATTGATCTGGTGAGCCCAAATCGGCATTGAACCTAGTTAAGCTGAGGCTTAGTTATAATCACAATCTTAACCCTTTTATTTACTGCCTTTTTCTTCTTAATGGCAGGGTATGTTGCGAAATATAACTCGTATGAAATGCTGAGATATTTGCAAAACTCCGGACCAAAAAGATCGATAGAACTAGCGAGAGACAGACAGGACGAAGGACCCGGATAGTGTGGTGGTGAAGTGCACTGCTCTCCGGTAAGGACAACAGCGCGTGTTCGTTCCCCACTGCATACACCTGCGGTCCGGAGTTTTGCAAATATCTCAGCATTTCATACGAGTTATATTTCACAACATACCCTGCCATTAAGAAGAAAAAGGCAGTAAATTAAAGGATAATGCCATAAAATTTGAGTGTTTAATACGATTGCGCTCGCCACCATATGTGGTAGTTCACTTGGATCTTCGCGTGGTTCACAGAACGATACCATTAACGATTGACCCACTGGTCTTCGTTGCGTAACTCAATTTGTCAACATATGGTTCATCTTCCGCTTTTAGGCGAATGGATGGTTTTTTTTGGATCATTAATCCAAAACGTCACCTTATACTCAGCACTTTGACCATGTCACCAATATCCCTTTCTCCATTGCTGACTTGAAACATCAACTCTTTGATATCTCGGGCAACATACTCAATTTCGGCATTAGGTACGCTCCTTAAAGTTGAGTAATTAGGTGGGGCGCTTATCGCAATGGTAGTGATGCGCTCGCTTCATTAAATGGAAGGGCCAACCAACACACGCCGTGGTTGGACTCCAAATCGGCCCACTAACCCTCCCATCCTTTCGGGGTGGGCAAATTCGTATCAGACTTGTCTGGGAGGTTTGGTCAAATCCGTTTGGGAACGCTGTGGCGCGGTCTTCGAGGATTCTAGAGAAAATCGATTCAATCAGCATTCAACGACTTACGATCGACGAACACTCTCTATATGGCTTTTAAACTATGTCTATTTATCATCCAAATTCTGTCCTACTTGAAGTAGTGGACTAGCAGGAGGGTGTAATATCGAAAATATATGGACGGCTGTGTTGTTTCAAACCCTATCATGTCAGGATGCTGTTAATACTACATTTGTCTAGATTCTTGAGTTTACACGAGGTTGTTATATAACCATTATTCGGCTAACGTTTCGTCTTCGTTTTGTTGAGAGCCAATGATCCAAGTCAATGGTCCACAGTTTTCGTTTTCGCGTTGATTACCATTGATTATAGTCAAGAAGCAGGTATCCATCCACCTAGTGGACAGGTGGGACGAAATAGAGGCACCGAAGAAAGAGAGTCTGTTATCTTGAGCCACTGTCTCTTAACAAGCACTTCATTTCGCTATAGCTTTGCTCACTATGAGGCAGCTATAATTGCACAGTGCACGCTTCGTACTGGTAATTTTTCATCACAGATGAAAGTAATATTCGGGATAGAATAAATAAAATGAAAATTTATAAAATGTTTTGAACTGTTGAATTTAGTCAAGAAATTTTTTTCCGTGGTATACTAAGGCGCGTGTGGCGCAGTGGTTGGAGGCACTACTGCGACACACGTGGAATCGATCTCTGTCCGCGTCCGTGGTCCACCAAGCCTTCCATCTCTCCAGGGCTGGCAAATTGGTACCAGACTTATCTGGGAGGATAGCAGCACTGGCTCGATACATCGGTAGGCCACCGGGAGTAAGGGCCAATTATGCATTCAATTACCTCCAAACAATGCTTAAGGAAGTCTAATGCATGGCGCATCCGTCAGGGATTAATCAATGCCGAGAGCTTTATACTTTATCCTTTTTGTACTAAAATGACCATGCTGGATCGTTCTTCGATAGATCGTCATCATATGTAGTGGGCTGTCTTTGTGGATCTGAAGTTTTTCATGATGTGACTTTTGTTTAAGAATGGTTATATTTCCTGAAACTGGTCTGTTTTTAAGTAGGATTCTTGATGGAAAGTGATTGCAACCTTCATGTTTTTACATTTTTACAATTTCTAGTCGTACAAATTTGTTTATGGGAAGGATGCGTGCAAGGTTGGACCACAGGGGTGGTTGTTTGATAATTATTACCAAAAACTTATTCCGTATATCAGGATATGTGGTTTATCCTGAGGCAATGATATTCCTTTTCGCATGTGATGAGCTCTGCAAGTGGTGTCGCTCACCGAACTAGTGGTCTACAAAAAAGAATCTCATGTGAACTCTGTACGGTATGGTATTATCTGTGTGGTATTATTCACAAAACAAGTGCAATACAGAAAACAGCGGTGGGTCTTTTTAAAACGCTGTTTGGCATATGATCGAAATATAGGTTTTGGTTTTTCTTTGAGGTTATGTAAGTATTTGACCAACTGGACTACGTGTTAATGTGACCCCTCCAGGCTGTCAATAAGGCAAAATCCGCCGAATCATTAACCGTCAACAAACAACTGTTATGTTAACAACCCTATATCAGTTCGTCAGGAACACAGTAACCTGTTGGACATTACCCATCTTCATTGTGCCGTTTCTTTTCTATTCCCGAATGGCGGAACGCGATGGAAATGATTTCTGCAGGTCTTTTGCATGTTGATGTTATTCCTCGTATGAAATTGCCGTCCCATACAATAAAGCGCGTTTACGAATTAACTTAATTAACCGTTTACACGTAAATTGGTTGGAGTGTAAGGCTGAAGTTGGAAGTTGGTAGGAGGAAGGCGGTTTTTATGCACTTTGTTAGGAGTGAACTTTTGTTTTTGCTAGTGTTGTCATCAATCATTTTATTAAGGAACCATATCGAATGCTAACGAGTCAGCTGTGGATGTCGGGCAAGTGAAAAATGAATTATGAATGCGATTGTTCTGTTTGTTTTAATATTTCACCTATATGTTTCTCTTCGTATACTCACTATCTATTTCTCCTTGTATGATTTAGTCAATAAAAATGTTTACAAAGTGTTGAAGTGGCGATTATTTTTCATTTATACTATTTCGGTCGAAACTCACGCAGGTCTGCACGCCAAATTGTAAAGGATGAGGTGGGCCGGACACGTAATGCATATGAACGCCAACCGATGAACAAGAGCCGTTAGTGACTGGATTCTTCGAAAAATCAAACGAGCAGCTGGGACACCACATACCCAATGGTAATATTTCATTGCGAAAACCCTAGGAAAAAGATATAAGGTTCAACATGACCCTAAAGCGAGAAGAACCCACTACGTTACTCTTGCACGCGACAGGGAGAAATGGAAGATTTCTGGCGCCCACTCGTGTCACTCGACAATCAGCGGGACGACAAGTAAAGCAGGTGGTGACGTTTGGATGAAAGTCTCCTAATGAGTAGTAGTTGATGACTCATACTCTCTTAGAAAATGGGGCAAAAATGTGTTAGTTCAATATACGTCCTACATTTCAACCTCAGGTCAAGCTCTGTTTTAAGTAGAAAGACAACTGGATAAAGTTGTGCTAGATTTTCCTTCCCTCTTGTGTTCATTTATCACTTTAGGGAAATCTATATACTAAGCTTGACACAATATTTTCATGAAAACGGGCTATACGGCCATCCCCGATTGCTGCGGAAAGACACGGGAGGTATTTTTGCATTATGTGTTTTGTATTTGTGTGTATTTTGTATTAGTATTAAAACTAAAGAGCGCGTTCAGCTCAGTGATTGGAGGAGCCCTGCAATACACGAAATCGTTACCTGCGCCCCGGGCTCACCAAACCGTCCATCTCTCGGGGTCGGCAAATTTGTACCAGACTTGTATGAGTGGTTGGCAGCACAGGCTTGATACATTGGTGGGCCACCGCGAGTCATTGCAAAGATGCGTTCAATCACTTCGAGCGATGATTAATGAAGGCGCATCCTTCGCTTTATCTGAGTTCTATTAAATGTCGTTTACCTACCTCGTGTGAGCTTATCAAAGAAAGAATACATGTCAATCGATTTATTTTGGTTGGTAAGTGTAGCCGTAATAATCACAAATAACAACACTCATAAAACCAGAAGTGACTGATGTGTAGAAGTTGTCTTTATGGCCACACACACATTATACACATGAATGTACTCGTGGATACCAGATTCCTCTAGTGGCTTTCAATAAAACAGCAGTGAGAGAGAGAAAGAGAGGCAGAATGATATATGGCGACGTTAAATAGATTTCATTTAAATTTCATATGGGTGGACGTTTTTCTCTGATGCATTTGTGAAACAACCAATAAGTTGTGACGTGGCAAGAGTATTGAATCAGGGATATGCTTTACAAAAAACAATTTACTTCTTGACAATTCAACGGAAGCTTCAATCACAAATTGTCATTTGGACATTGTGATATTACAATTAAGGCTATCCACCCTCAAATCTTCACTCAAAGCGTTTCGAAGCACAGACTCTGGGTAAAGAGATCAAGATCGCCTAACCGGATTTGAGAACTGCATCTACCACCAACGAAACAACTAAGATGAACAGCTATCTGATTGTAATCCTATCCGTACTGGACTATAAATGTATCTTCACATTCGCGGCCTACGAATCAACCGGAGACGTTAGCGTAACATACAACTTACAACTTGTTTGTTTGCACTGATCCGGAAATGATCAAAATTGGATATACGTTAATGAATTTCAGGGCTCGGCAACCTAAGAGTTAAGTAGCCCTGTTCGGTCTAAAAAATCAGTTTCTAGTGCAATTCTAATATTAATGGTGATAGTTCGAAGAGTAAAAAAGTGTTCAGATACTAATACCTCAAATGTGGTAAAAATGACAAATCAGTCATATGTAAAAGTCAATGGGTGATAAGGGAAGACATTTTTTACGAGGCATTATGATAATACTACATCTTAATGCAAAAAATCCAGCACTTTTCTGAAGGATCGTTACTAAGCGCTGTCAAGGCAGCGCGATTTAGTTTAAACAGTTTCATATGTAATGGTAATTTGTTCTTCTCCAGTAAGTAACTATCAAAACCAGTTACTTATGTTTGATTGGGAATAAGACGAACTTCCCAGTTAAGGAACGCCTGTTGAGAAGCGTTCAGAATACGACCGGTACTGACGAGATATGATAACTGACCATAAAGAAAGCATTGAAATCTTGATGATCAAAAAAGACAACGATAAAGAAGGCATAGAAACCCGACGGAAAACACGTTACATCAATTCTGTAAAGCGATAAAGAATGTGGGCGTTTTCACACCCCATCGAACCGGTACTTCAATTTCTAATTAGAGGCTATAAATGTTTCCTATTCAATGAAAGAGTATGAACCACTTTCTTTTCTTAACAGCGATATGGCAAGAATCATGATGGCATTTCTTCTATGAAATCATTCATAAAACTGTAGACAGCCGGACTCGTTTTGGAACTTCTTTAGCACGAAGACAACGATCAGCCATAAGCCTTTTGTGCTCTTGGCAAAGATCAGTCAGTATCTATGTTCTAAGGAGGACGAAATAGTCTCGTCGTTATTAGCCGAGCTCGACGTCGTCATCATTATCGTCATCGTCCTCGTCCTCCTCTTCATGCTCGAGTTCACAGACGTCGACGATCACGTCATCTTCGATTTCGTTCAACGATGGAATATCTTCCTGTGAGGTCTCTGTTACGAGTGTATTGCGTGGAGTGACGAGCTGAAATTATTTTTTTTACTGCTTACTTTTGGAGAATTTCGTCTCGCTTGCAATCCTTTAACATTTTCTTCTGACGTGAGTCAATTGGGGCTTAACTACAAATGAGCAAGTAAAGGACAGTCCACACTGTCCGTTGGGAAGGCGTTATGTTGGCTGGCGACAAACTGGTGCAGAGGATTACAGAAGGATATATAAACTCTACTTGAAACATAATGATAAAATGTGAGATACGTGTCACAGAATTCAAACTATCACTTTAGTAATGTGTTACATCAGTTCAGTTCATTCTTCTTCGCAGATTCTATGTTCTGCGTACATCCTTCCGTTATTGGACATTACAGAAGTTTTATAAGTAGAATACTTATGAGGCACAAGCTAACTATTTCTTCCAAGCACACTGCAGGAATCTACCGACCATCTTTCGGGGTTAGGAGAATGAACCCCACTTATTCTATCCTTTTCAGCGTTTGATACCCACGTATAGCTTATTGAGCTCTGAGTATGGAAGCTTGGTATACATACGGATAACATGCCACTCTCTCCCAGCGTAAACGGGAGGAGTTCATTTGTTGGAGGCGTCTCCTAACCGCCCTCCATATGCTTCCTAGTCACTTAATTGCACGATTTTGGCCGAATTGACTCGTAGAATACAATCCGCATAAATGACATCACAGCCACGCACGCATGTATGGATATGACCACATAAATACAGAAGTTTGTGCTAAATCAGCTGAGCAGAAACAGGAAGCTCATCACCTGAATCTCGCTTTAGGTCGGCGATTACTGCCTAACCGCCAGATACGTGGTCGGCAATTGCACTATCTTCGCAATGTTGGTGAGACCGTTCTTCAACACCAAAGAAGGATGATTGGCAACTGCACCATCGTCGCATTATTCATGATATCATTCTTGCAACATCACACACTGCACTAAACAATGGCCAGACGGAGCGAATGCTTGCAACTTTGATTATGCCTGTGGAACGATTGGTCATCGAATAAATTTTAAAAACACGATGTTAATCGGGAACGGTTTGGTTTATCATATCGAATTCATGCGCAACAGTATGAATATCTCCAAATGGTCCATCTATGTCTGTCTAGTCTTGGAAATCAACATGTCGGACGACTTCGTGCCAGAGTTGAGCAAGAGGAAGCGATTGGCTTGCGAGCTTTCAAGAGCATCGACAATACAGTGAAGAGAACAAAGAACACCCAACTCCGCGCCCACCTTTTCGACTCCACTTTTTTCCTGCCTTAACGTATGCGTCAAAAACCTGGTCGCTGGGTAAGCAGGATGAAGGACCACTCAGCGTTACTGAACGCGCAGTCGAAAGGACTATGCTGAGAGTATCCTGTGTCACACAAGTGAGTTAAGCAATCAGGAGCTCCGACCCATGTTAAGGATCAAAAACCAAAAATGTCGTTCTATACGCCAAACTCTAGAAAATAAGGTGGGCCAGACAAGTAATACGTATGAACGACAACCGATGAACTAGGCCCGTTAGTGACTAGATTCCTCGCGATATTGAATGTGCTGCAGGAAGGCTATCGACGCGATAGTTAGAGTTCATCACGGAAACGTTAGAAAAAGAATCTGATGCTCAACGAGTCCCTAGAACGCACAGAACCCACTGGCCTATTCTCGCAAGTGACAGGAAAAAATAGAAGATTTCCTGGCACCCGCTAGTAACTTGACGGACAACAAGACGATAGGTGACAGGTGACAGGTGATCTCACACGTTGTCGTCAAAAAATTCGCCTACCAGAGAAAGATTTTGCCATCGCGCAACTACTTTGCTTCCATATCTCAACGATTTCTAACATTGGTACTACGGTGAACGAATGAACTGTTATGGGAGCACGGACCTAGTAATATCTGCCAAATAGAGCTTCCGGTCCTGCCTTCTTTAGATATCTGCTAAAGCAATACCTTGCGTTTGCCATTATATGAAATCTGAGTGCTGATTACATGAAGTTCAGCGCTACAGGATTTGCTTCTTCATGTGTTCCTTCTCTCTATCTCAAATAGCTTTCGTGTGAGCACTTCAACATAAGGATTGACAACCTTTTCAATAAACAACTTCTTCATCCTCTTCTTTCTACCATGTTTAGCTCTATGAATAAAATACACCTCAGTAAGCGTTCGATCTCTGTGCTCGGGATGTTCGCGCACCGGTGATATGTCGGTGGCGTGACGAACTCTCTTCGGTGTTGACGGCTCGGGTACCCGTAAACTGGATGACATCAGTCCTTGATCGCCGTCGCTGAGACATCTGCAATAGTGTTGTTAATTGAGCAGTGGTTATGCATCCCGATTTTCTAATAAATTTATGAAAATCTTTAAATCATAGCTGCCTAGAGACCATTATCTGCGTGACATATTTTTCCTGCTTCTGCTAACAGTAACTGCGCCCAAATGAAAGGACAAAGCTTTCATCTTTGATCATTCCCTGAAGATCATTTATCCCTGTGTCATGTATCATCGTAGAGGTCGATGAATACGTATTTGGCTTAGACAATATGTTTCGAGGGACCAGCAACGTATTCAAGGGGATACTTTTTTAAACCATTATGCCAACACGAAGTTGATAAATAGTTTTATTTCGACTGACGTTTCAGTTGTTTCGCCTTCTTCACAGACGAAATGAACCGACTCGGTCATCCACAGCTGGTTGTTCTCGCCATATGGGTGTACGTTGTAGTATTGAGTTTAACCTTCTGGAGTGAAGCACCGCTCGAGTGAAATAACCTCACTTGGCAATGTCGTCCTATTCAACTCGATTGGACTCAATACGGTAATGAACACCCATATCGCGACAACGACTGGCTCTGGACCATCGAATTGGTTGGACGCGGCTATGAAGAAGACGGAAGCGCTGAAACATCTGCCGAATAAATCTTTTCGCCAACCTCGTATTAGCTCAGTAACTCAGAAAATTATTGGTTTTCTATGCAGAGCTTTAAAGAAATACGGTCCTTAAAATACTCAGATCATCAGGTCAATGTTAACCTTTTATTTTCTGCTTACTACATTTTTTTACGGCAGGGACTGATGTGAATTACAACACAACGATGCTGAGATATTCGCAGAATTTGGATCCCGGGCCAGATCGACCCATGATTTCGGGGACTCGCTCATTACACATTGCACCACGGCGGCTCTTGCTTTGCGCTTCTCTCAGCTAATTTCCTACTTAACGCAGCTACCAGTAATCACCTGTCAGCGTATTAGGCAGAAAATAAAAGGTTAACATTGTGATTTCGACCAAAGCCTCAACATAACTGGGTTCAGTGCCGATCTATGCTCCTTAAATCAATCCCGAATATCTCAGCATCGTTGTGGTTGTAATTCACATCAGTCCCTGCGGTGAAAAAATGTAGTAAGCAGGAAATAAAAGGTTAACATTGACCTGATGATCTGAATATTTTAAGGACCGTATTTCTTTAAAGCTCTGCATAGAAAACCAATAATTTTCTGAGTTACTGAGCTAATACGAGGTTGGCGAAAAGATTTATTCGGCAGATGTTTCAGCGCTTCCGTCTTCTTCATAGCCGCGTCCAACCAATTCGATGGTCCAGAGCCAGTCGTTGTCGCGATATGGGTGTTCATTACCGTATTGAGTCCAATCGAGTTGAATAGGACGACATTGCCAAGTGAGGTTATTTCACTCGAGCGGTGCTTCACTCCAGAAGGTTAAACTCAATACTACAACGTACACCCATATGGCGAGAACAACCAGCTGTGGATGACCGAGTCGGTTCAATTCGACTGTGAAGAAGGCGAAACAACTGAAACGTCAGTCGAAATAAAACTATTTATCAACTTCGTGTTGGCATAATGGTTTAAAAAAGTATCCTCTTGATTACGTTGCTGGACCCTCGAAACATATTGTCTAAGCCAAATACGTATTCATCGACCTCTACGATGATACATGACACAGGGATGATCTTCAGGGAATGATCAAAGATGAAAGCAATGCCCTACTATATTCGCAAATGATCATTGAAAATAATGAAAATGCTACTGAGATATGATTATCACAAACCTTCGAACATCGCGATGCTTCTGGAAATTCGAAAGGGTGGGTTTGATTTGATGCCGAGTGCTCATATGTCGCGTCAACACATCGCGACGCCTCTGTGAAAAGTGTTAAGTATTAGTGCAATGTATTTAAAAGTTTTATGCAATTTCAACATTGAAACTAGTGATAACGCAATACTTAATAAATATTTGAAAGTAGAATGCAACTTATTCATGGTGTTATGGTGACGACGATGCTAAATCCCACCCTATAATCTAACACCTAACACATTTTTTATTCTCATCGAAGCTACATCGTTCTTGATTGATGGCTCATCCACTAATCACAGGAATCACTTCGTTCGGAAAGAAACCTATTGGCAAGGTAGCAGTTCTCACTTCAACTCACAAATGCCTTATTCACAAAAACCTTATTCACGTCCTGAGAACGACGACGGCTATTCTCAATCGTGCAATTCCAGCAAACCCATGCTTTCTAGGCTGCATTCGTCTTCTAACGTACTAATGAATAGAAAAGAGCGCAGATTCCCATACCACAAGGGGAACCTAAACACGAAGCCGACCACCTTAATGAAAGACGGAGTAGAAGTGCTGAAGCCCGTACAACAAATGAAAACGATATATAAGCGTTAGGTATGCTTTAATACAGAATTGGAACTTTATTAGCCCTATTTAATCTATTCAAAAGTATTTTTTCGCATCACATAAGAGGAAATCGAGACGCTAATGAAGGACTTTTGCGTACTGAGCACGGCCGACCTACCGGACAGAGCTTTCATGGTAACTACTGGCTCTCTCTCAATTATGTCCATCGCCTTTTATAGGTCGACGAAAACTGGCTCAGGTATAACCGGATGTAGTGAATGTTCTGTTAATCCTGTTGAATATGACTTATGAATATGACTCTATTCTTTCTTTTTAATACGTTAATTTATCCCTTACCTGTTGAGTTTTGTGAGGAGGTATACAATGAGGTGCGCATGAACGACGCGTTAGCGCGTCTGCTCGAGTAATTCTGGAGACATAGCTCTTGTAGTAGCTTTTGAAACGTAAGACGTGATTAGATGTATAGTTTTTCGCACATTATCCAGGATAGGATTTCGGCATTGAAGTCCTTCAATGAAGACATGACGTTCTACGTAAACCTCTCCGCGTCCTTATAGAACAACTCGTCTTCGTCATCTTCTTCAGGTTAAGGCATAGAAAGTAAAAATTTTCAGAACAGATATTAGTCCACATCTTCTCCACTGACACTGTCGACTCCTCAGTTGTGGTATGTTCAACGAAAAACTTTTTCGTCAGTATCACAAGTGAGGCTTAAAATGCCGTGACTTCTTATATTGGCCAGTCCGATGAAGTCGTACCTGCTTTTCTTAGTATGCTTCATTTGACGGTGAACGAAGGACAAAAACGCTAGATCATTGAAACGACGAACATTGCTTACAGTAGTTCCAGATGTAGACATTCTAGAATGGTCGTGAAATTTTGGTAGCTACTCCGTGGTCCTGAAATTTTGGTAGCTGTTCCGTACTCGGGCGAATCATATCAACCATACCATACCAGCCCCAGCCGTATAAGAGGCATTTCCAGGCTCAAAAGAAACAAGATCCATCAATTTTACAGCTCCTCGATCAACATCAAGCCATAACGTGACGGTTTTGAACGGAGTTAACCAGTAACTTATTCGTTGGAAACCGCTACTGCACTTGGTGGCCGCTTGATTGCAAGCCTTAAAGAAATTGACAAGCAAGATAGAAATCAGACACAAGAAAGCACACCTAGCCACTCATAAATTTTTATGTTAAAGAACATAGGAGGGGCGCGTGTAGCAGAGTGGTTAGAAGCGCCCTCCAATAAACATGGGATCGATCAGGCGCACCTGACTCACCAAGCCCTCCATCCACCAGTGTCTCCAAATTGATACCAAACCTGTCTGGGAGGATAGTAGCACTGGCTTGATTCATTGGCAGGCCACCGTGAGTCATTGTAAAGACCAGATGTGCATTCAATCATCTCCAACGATGCTTAATTAAACCGAATGCTTGGCGTATCCCTCAAGTATTAACCAATGCCAAGAACTTTATCCTTTTTTTGAACACGTAATAGGAAAGTCAGTGTCTATTTGGTGCAGCAGAGAGTGAAAGTTTGTCTTGAATCCACTAACGATTCAAGGCATACGGAAGATTTTGTTCACATCTCTTCCAGTATACGCCATATGAGGACCTCACAAATAACCTGCAGAGAAATCCTCAGTAAAAGATCACTGACTCTCGAATTAGTTCTAAATATTCTCTTTGTTAGTTCTGATTTTCATATGCTACATGCATTACATGCACAGTAAGCTTTACATCACAATTTTGCTAGATAAAATTTGCTCATGTTAAATCGTTTTCGACTTTTCAGAATTGACTCTGAACGGAAGATCTCAGAAGGACTCAATTTCCAGTAGAAGAATAATCGATGAAACAGACAGAGTTGTTTTTCAACTAGTAAGAAAAGATCTTTTTTCACGATGCCCTAATAGTCAGGGGAAGGAGGGTAACCGAATGCTATAGCTATGACCATCTGGGTAAAGATATCGGTAAGAAGATCGACTTAGCCCTGTGCTCAGCACGAAGCAATGAGCGGTATGAAAAGCTTACAACAAAATGGAAGATTAGTGCAAAAGTAAAAAAAAATGCATAAATTCATGCCCACTTCTCGACATAACGGTTTCATCGAAGATTCAATGCTGCGTAAGCAAAGCTGAGAGACAGATCAGTGTTATCAAACTTTCCTAAGGAATGATGTTAGGAGTATCTCGTACAAGCCAAGAGAGAGAAGGGACGGTTACGACCTGTTTACGACCGCAAAGAGCTCGAAAATCAAGATCATACGTGATGATTTTAACGAAAGTCAGTTAACAAAAGTCGTTAGCAGCTCTATTCCATAAAATGGGAAGCGCACAAAATGACAACTAACCTGATGCCTAGACTTCTTTATGCAGATCTTAGAAAGAAACGATGAAATATGGTGCGTTCCTAGATCATCCACTTAACAGATCCTAATAGACACTCTGCCAGACGATAAGGAAAACACCTCATTGACTTTACAGAGAAGGAACTAAGGAAGCACTAGAGCATTTTCAATAGGATACGGTGCATTTTCCCTAAGCAAGAAAGGAAATGACTGCGATAAAAAGCTGACTTAAGCTCACTAAACTTGAACTTTTCAAATTAATTTGGCATTAATAGGACAACAACTTTAAAAAACTGACAGCTGCATAGGGACAAATGTAGCACTGGTATGGTTTCTCGTCGGTGTGCGTTCGTCTATGCGTTCGAAGGTGGTCAGATCGCGAGAAAAATCGTCCACAAGCATCACAACCGAACGGTTTCTCACCAGTGTGACGCCGAAGGTGCCTGTATATAAATGTTCTTCATATTAAGCACTTTCTTCGTTACAAAGGTCAAAGAATGAGGGAATACAAAAACAAATCTTTTTTCAGTAATGAACACATTTCCAAACTTTATAAGGCGAACTGCAAGCACATTATAATTGGGGAGATTTGGATTGTGGTGTAGCATTTAGAGATGACTTTGTAAAATAACCTCTCACGATGCTTAATGAGGTCGAATGAATGGCGCATCTCTCAGGGATTGAACAACGCTGAATGCTCTGTTCTTTATCCTTTCATAAAGCGAATTTACAATATAATACCACTACAGTTAATTTTTGAGCACGTTCTACATGGTGTCACATCTACAATATACACACTAGCTTCAAGCAGTTTGTCTTCCCATGTTGAAATAACCTTGTCAAGCTCCGCAGATATTAGAAAAGAACTGATTCCGGTGTTCACGTGAAAATGTTCACATATTTTCCACTGGATTCATACAACGAGCTTCTTGATTCTGCTGTATCAGATTAACCTACACTCTGCGTATACATATTAACTGCATTATTATTATTATACGTATTCATACGGTCCGTAGATGTGTTTGGTCGCATGATGCACGTTGATCCGTGGAAGTCCAGAAATTAAGTGGCGCACACGTGAGTGAGGGTTACGAATCCTCTCCAACACCGACAAAAGCCCGCGAAAACTACACATTCAATGCAATCACAACGATGCTGTTATATTTGCAAAATTCCAGAAAGTAGGTGATCGCGGTGGGTATTGGACACGCTATTATCCTCTTCGGGTGCTAACGCGTTCACCAGTACTACATGAAGGCACTTTGTTTCGCCTATCTCACAGCTAGTTTTCTACCCAACGGCACCATCATTGACTCATTGTACCCAACGTCATCATGGGGTTGCTGATCGCATCGTTAGGTAGAAAAGTAGATGAGAGAAAGGCGAAACGGTGGACCTGCATAGTATGGTGCTGAACGCGTTGGCCCTCGGAAAGGGTGGTAGATTGCTCCATTCCCACAACAGACACCTACGATTTGGAATTTTGCAAATAACTCAACATCATTGTGGCTGCACTCCACATAATACACTGCTGTCAAAAATAATAGTAAGAACTAAATAAAAGGTTAACATTATACATTCAATGCTGTTCACGGCTGCGGTCAGTTAGGTACACATACTAAAAACGCTCTAGTCATAGCATAGGTAACGAATAAATGAAAGTCTTCATACAAAAAGTTTAGTACTTATTGGTTTCCTCAAAGGGAAGGGAAGTAGTGGGTACCTACTAGGGCGATTTGTTGGCATTCGCTCAGGGAAGGCTAGGTTGGAAAAAGTTACACGACCGGTTAGAGCGATAGACAGACATATCCATCTTTTAATTTACTAAAAGCAAAGAGCAATACTGTAGTTAAAAGTTTTTGAATGAAAACTTTTATAGTGAGCAATGATGTTGCTGGTGTTCCATTTGATGTTCTATGTGATCACTCCTAACTCAGTCAATCGACAGGAACGAATGGAGAAATTATGGGCGGCTGCTTCATGATAACCAAGAGTACAGTTTAGACTACTGATAAGCATATTATCATTGCTTACACGCGCACTTAGTGTTCTTTGTGAACAATGGTTTCAGTTTGAAACCACGGAACTTGAAAGATTACTTTTGAGACGAATTGTTTAGTGATAAAACTTTGTCAAAGCACCCCTCCCTATTCCGAATTTCTGCAGAAAAGCGAATTCCGATTGTCGTATACCTTCCTTCACGTCTGAATATGCATGGAAATCAAGAAAAATATGAACCAGAACTTTAGCTGATTTCCTCACCTCCTCATGAAGTCTTTCACAAATATTGAAAACGACATTCTACTGGTTTGTTTCCCTGATTCCTAATAGGTTATCTATCTATTAATGCCTCACTGCTCGTGGAGCTACTCTGAGAGCCACGTTGAACTCTCGTAAGAAAATTCTATACCAGGTCCCTTAAAAATCAAAGCGTGAGGGTATTTGTGGATGAATTTTCAGCGCGTGTGACGGAACTGATAAAGCAAAGATAAGAAGGGTAGGTAGCGTACGGTTATCATACTAACTAGTCACATGAATGTCTTCCAGAAAAGTCATCTCATCTTGCATACTTCTTCACTGAAGGAATTCACTCAGAACTTTTGGTAAACATGAAACAAATCTATTTAATTCTAAGAAAGAGCCTAATGTCAACAAAGCATGCCAAAACGTTTTCAACTGGTACTATTTATATCATTTAATTTATTTACTATTTAATTAAGCGCGCGTGTGGCACAGTGGTCGGAGGCGCCACCGCAACACACACGTGGAAGCGATCCTCGCATCCATGGCCCTCCAAACCTTCCATGCCTCCGGTATCGGCAAGTTGGTAGCAGGCTTGTCTGAGAGGATAGCAGGCTCGATACATCGGTAGGCCACCGCGAGTCGTTGCAAAGGCCAGGATTTGCATTCAATCACCACCAAACGATGCTTAATGAAGTCGAATGCATGGCGCATCCCTCAGGGATTGATCGACGCCGAGAGCTTCATCCTTTTTTATCCTTTATTAGTGCTTACGGAATCTTTGTTATATTTAGCATTCAAATATTTGAAGTTATAACTTCAATAACGCTGAGGTGTTTGCAAAACCCCGACCCATGTGTGTCTGTGGTGAGGATCAAACTAGCTATTACCATTTCCGGGATTAACGCTTTCACCACTACACCGTACTTGAAGATTTTTTAGAGTAGAACTGATGCCTGCCTGGATAGTATGTCCGGACGTTTGAAATCCTTCCTGCATATGCTACAGTAATATTGTTTTTTATCATCTTCGTCACCCTGTGGCTCCGAAGAAAGCGATTCGGGTGATTTCTGGAGGTCGGATTTTACACTGGCATCGCTTCGCTGTGAAGGCGATAGACCGATGTAGGACGGTGAAGCGGCTAAGCGATGGAATTCGGCTGAAGAGAGAGGACTTGAGAGTGGTGGCGAAATGACGGCATTTCTCCTCGACGAGTGAAGTAGGAGCTGAAAAGAAAGGCAATAATAAGGTTTGTTTTTTACATAGCTTATTATAATTTAGAGTTACGAAGCGCTCAAAACTCACTGTACCAGTGTAAACACTGTCCAACGAAGTTTCTGGAATGGAAACGCTTAATTGGCTGGTATGTTTTTGGGCAACTGGAGGCGATTCCGTACGTCCGATGGCGGCATGAAATGATGACCATAACGACAAAAGAAAAAGATGTGTTCCCAATTTATTGAGCATACTTTGGACAACATTAGTGCCCAAAAATCTGTTCGCCTCACGAAACTAATAGAGCCCCTTCTTCCAAAGATCTCCTTCATTACTAAGTCTGTCACTGACAGTATGTCTCCGGAATGGATCTCTCGAACATACGCACCCCACAATTTCATGTCAGAGCTTCAGAAACTTACATGTGTCGCGTCTCCTTTTCGAGCGCTTTGGATGACTGATTCTTTGCGTTGCAAAACTGGATGAATAATGACGTCCTTGTGCCGTCGTACTGTCATCAGCACGTCCTTCAAACGTTCCGGGTCTTTTCGGGAGGATGATGGCAATTCGAAAGCGCTCGAAATTTCAAATGATTCCACTTGATCTGCCAAATACCATAATAACTCGAATGCGGAATAGAAAAGAGGACAAGGCTGTACATAAAATAAATTCACTTTTATCCTTTCCAAGTTTTCAAGAGCTGCTCTTAAAGTGAAGCTTTCTTTCTTTGGACTGCTACTGTTTATCATTTTAAAAGGCGTATTTCTCTATGCACCACTGTGTCTTTGCTTTCCTTTCTTTTTACTCTAACACGAATTTGCCATAAGGTACCTTCAATACCACTCGAGTAGAAAGGAAACAATTCAATTCTAAACCCAACTTAAAATTTACTTAAAACCCTTGAAATGGCTCACAATAACAATGTTCCACTCAGTGATGGTTTAATACCGAAGGAAGTCGAAAACAAGCACGGAAAACGATCCGTTTCTTGAACACATTGTGAGGTTAGGATGGAAACTGATTCTTTACGACGGTCAACGAGATTCTCTTGCAGAAATATGAAGCACCAAAGAACACAAGGAATTCAATTCATGAAGAAATGACTCGTGGTTTCCTTAAATGCTTGGTGGCCAACTGATCTGTGTAATGATCCATTCTAAAATCTTGAATTCCAATGAGACTATCCCAGTAGTGTTATAAAATCCTCAGAACCTGAGAGGAAGAGGGAAGGCAACGACTAATGCTGACTTCTAGAAATTTTAAGCCCCACGATAATGGTTGACCTCATGGTGCAAGATTTATTACTTTGATGATCTCCAAATGGCATGCGAGCTCCTGTATTTCTTCGTCGCTTCGTTGTTGTAAGGCGATTATACATATAAAAGTAGTTGGATTTGAGTGTGAATTCCTCTACAACTTGAGTATCTGCGGACTTTTTTTTACTGATGTTTACGTTTCGAGTAATCTTCGAAGATTTTCTCGGTAGGAAAACCGGAGATAACCATATGCAGGTGTTCTTAGGTCAGCGTATTCGCGAGCGGGAGGGAAGTTTTTGTCCCGAATTTGTTTCACAACTAGCACTTAAAAGCTGAAAGAATTGGGAAACTACGAGATTAAAATCATCAGAAATACCACAAAAACGTGTAATTTGTTCATAATCTACCGCATAAAATTGGAGCGTCTCTTTATCTACCTAAAATAGAAATCCATATTGAGGCGAGAATGCTCTTCAAGGATATGATTAGCGCAATAATTTCCATGCTGAGAAGCAATAATTGCGAAATCCATTCGGTTGACGTCCAGCCAAATAAGGTTCACATCTTTCTATGTAGGACCATTATCCTTGCGTTAATTTCCTCATACGCTTCTCGACATGCTGACAGTTTTACGTGTATCTTAATCTCTACACCATCTTGTTGGTTGTTTTTAAGGACCTTTCCTTTCTA